TGACTCCGCGTTCGCAGAAGGGGCCGACGATGGCAGCGATGTCGTTCCATGTCGCTGGTGCTTTGGGTATGGTGCAAGCAATGAGATGGAGAGGACTCATGCCGTCTTCATCCCAGGAATTGATGCTCGGTGGTATCGTGAGCAGTGGTACGATGGACCATTGGTGATGCTTTACGGCGAGAAGAAGCGGCGTGTTCTTGTCCTTGTCGCCGATGGCGGTGTTTGCTCGGGCTCGTAGTAATGACTGCACCGTCCCCTCCAATCCATTCGCTGCGGCAAGATGCAGCGCCGTTTGTCCGTTCATGTTGGTCTTGCGGAGGTCAGATGCTTTGATGAGAGACTCCAGATGGGGCTCCTGGTCTTTTGTACTGTTCGTAGTAGCATTGAGCAAAGGCGTAAGCTCTTCAGCATTAGTAAGATCTGCGTTCGCTTTCTGCCTCAGCAACAGCTCTGTGCAGACTCTGCTGTGCGTTGCGAGATGGAGAGGTGTATCGCCGTCTTGGTCCCTTGCATTGACTTCAGCGCCGGCGTCGATGAGCTGAAGCGCGATTTTAGGATGGCTAAAACGAGGAGATACGGCATGATGAAGCAGTGTCTTGCCATCCGGGTATGTCAATGTTGCGTCAGCGCCCTGCTCAAGGAGAGCACCTAGAATGATAGACATGGTCTCCTTCTCTTGGGCCAGTGGGCTCTCGAAAGTAGCCTGGAGTACAGTAAGGCCCTTTCTGTCGCGGATGGTGAGATCCGGGTTGCGCTTCAGCAGTGCACTTATCACCGGCGCACCGGCACATTCCAATGCCACGAAGATGGGACGAAGGCCGTTGGCGGTCTCGCGATCCGGATCCGAGCCTTTCTCTAGGAACATCTCCACCAAGCTCGCGTCATCTCTCTTGATGGCCTCCACAAGGACGTTGGACTCCGAATCGCAAGCTGCGGCGAATATATCCGCGATGAGGTCGTTGCCTACCGAGAAACGGCCCTGTGTCTTCTTCACATGCTTCAACAGCATCTCCCTCTCCTTCTCCAGCTTGTTGCGCTTGCCGTGTGCGGCGTTGATGATCGCTACGGCGCCCTGGATATTGTTGGCGTGTAGAGCAGCCTCGGCTGGCGTCTGACCGAGACCGTTGAGCGCTTCGTAGCTAGCGCCATGCTTGAGCAAGGTCATGACTGTGGCTAGAGATCCGGACTTTGACGCTGCATAGTGGAGGGGTGTCTCGCCGGTGTCGTTCGTCTTCGTCTCGAGGTTGGGTCCGTATGGGATCAAAAGTTCGATGAGATCGCTGCGGCCATTCTTGACAGCTATGTGAAGGGCTGTTTCGCCGCTGGTCTTGATCGCGGCATCGGCATCGGCACCAGCATCCAACAGTATTCGCGCGAGACTCGCGTAGCCGTTGGCGATGGCGATGCATAACGGTGGGAGTCCCAAGCCAGCGACATCATTCGGTGTTGCGCCAGCGCGTAGGAAATGTGAAAGCGCTGCCTCTCGTTGGTGGTAGACAGCATAGTATATCGGTGTCCAATCTTTCGATGGCTTGAACTCGCCAGTACCCTCCGGCGATCCCGCTGGCTTCCCAAACTTGCATCTCATAACCTCCACCGATGTTTGTAGTGTTGAACCCTTTCGTTTCAAGGCAGTCGGCCTCGTCGTGTCCCGATCCAGATCAAGGTCGATATTGCGGGGAATTGGGGGCTCCATGTCGCCTGAGTATCTGCTAGTAAGGCAACCGCAAGACTTCGATTTCATGCTCGCGAACCTGACATCAAGGCCTGATAAAGCAGACAATCAGGGTTCAGGATAGCGACAAAAGAAAATATGCAGGGTAAAGAAAAGCACCCGGGTACCCACCGCAGAAGAAAGCTACAAGAGCGACAGGAGCTTGACAAGTACGCTCCCCACCTTTCCCCTTCTTTTTGCCAAATTGGAGGAGCTGAAATCGTGGCGCGCCCACGAATCAAGTCATTCTCGTCGCGGTTGTCGTGCCATTTCGCCTTGCTTACCGCTAGGAGCCATGGTTCAATTACCAATAACGGGTGCCTTGTCGTGCTACAAACCTAATCGCGCCTCTCTGTAGTCCCGAAACGGGTAGCTAGGTGCCTGGATTCAGTCGACGGCAGATGTTACGACTCGCATTCTCGCGGAACGGTGCGCCTGGGACGATCGCCGCAGCGCTTCCCTGCAGGCTACAGCGCTTGCTGTCAATCATCTCAGAAGGAATCCCAGAGGCGTTGTACAGTTGTCTTTTCGCTTGGCTTGCTCGCGACGGTCCGCGAATGACGGAGACGCTACTAACTATAGAGGGGCAATGGCGCGGTGCAGATCTTGCTGTTGGACGCTGCAAGCGTCGTGACGGCGATGGACGCTCCGCGGAACAACAAGCAAAGTCAATGGCGACGGAGGACGCGATACTTTCGCGCTCGCTGTTCGGAGGGAGGTGCGCCCGGTGCTGCTTGCGGCGTTTCGCTAGCCGACCCACGTGTTTGTAGCTGGATTGGCTCAGGGGTAAAGTGGCCTCCATCGCCTCGCTGTTGCGCGCCGTCGTCCTTGGCCACACAGACGGCGCCAATGCTACGGGTACAATGTTTCCGCAACAATGTTGTCGAGTGTGCAGGCGTTTATTGAGTGGAGATTAGACGAGAAGTCGAATTCTAGCCGCGGTAATGCATGGGAATATCCAGGCAAAGGATTCCAGCTGCGGTGGCTGCTCCGAATAGCGGGAAGTCATCCGCCAGCTCGGTATCACGTTGAAACTCAAAATGGGAGCTGGTCTGCAAAGATCATGCGCAAGAAAGAGTGTTTATTCTACGTGTGCTATGCCCGTGAAGATCGTTCGAAAATCAAGTAAAGAGTGTAAGAGGACGCGAAACCGCCGTCCTCAGTCGAGTACGCAAGTGCGCAAAAGCAATTTCCGCCTTCTTTTTCCAATTTGTATCCCCTTCGTATTGCATCATCCTCCTCTTACAGCGATCGAGTCGCATTCCAACGGTAGCGACGAATACGCTGGCAAGTCGCTGCACGTTCAGCCTCCCCGCAACCCCACGTGGCCGCCAACACCACCTCTCAGAACTTCACACCCAACTTCCAGCCAACTTGAAGTGCGCGACTCCAGACAAAGCAAAGTGACGCCACGATGTAGCAAGCTGCGGTCCAGATGACCACTCCCCAGTAGTGTCCACCAGTGGACTGGATGATCGCACCCGCAATAGGAATACCCGTAAGCGTGCTGAAGCTGACCACGGTGTAACAAGTAGCGTAGTACCTGCCGTAGACATTCGTATCGCAAAGCTGGCCGACGCAGACTGGTGTCAATGAGATATTGGAGCCAGATGCGAAACCAAACAAGACCGCGTAGACAATGGAGAGGGCTTTGATAGCCGTAGCTTCGGCCGCGGAGGTGGGGGTGAGTAGCGATGCGGGCAGCCAGAAGACTAGCGATGTAGCTGAGCAAATGGCGAGTGCCGCAATCATGCTGTTGAAGCGCCCGAGCTTATCGGCTAGGAAGCCTGGAACCCAGCGACCGAGACAACTTCCCGCGTTGAAGATGGCGATGAGTTGGTACGAGAATGACGGGCTGAATGCGCCGGTACTGACCGCAAAGGTGGTAAGATACGTAATCGGGATGAACAGTGCCCACTCCATCATGAAGATGCCGACCGTGAGCAGGAAGTAGCTCTTGTGGCGGAAGATCCGGAAATCGGGCCATACTGATTGTCCAGCTTTGGGTGGTAGGCGGGAGCGGATCAGGAAGCAGGCACCAATGCAGCAGAAGAGCGTGATGAAGCCGATGATGCGAGTCGCCCATGGGAAGCCTACCCTGGGTAGCAGCTTCTCCAGCGCCAGCGGGAATATGACACCACCTAGCGATCCTCCAGCCGCGGCGATACCCGTTGCGTTGCCTCGCTTTTGCAGGAAGAAGTGGCTGACTGCGGCGAACGCAGGCGTGAAGATCAACGATGTACCGAGACCCCCGAGCACGCCGAAGACGAGAAAGAAGTGCCAGTACAGTGTGCAAATCCCAAGCAGGAAGTTTGACAAGCAAAGCAGAATGCTGCCTGCCAGCACCAATAGCTTCGGGCCGTGCGCATCGAATATGGGTCCAATCTGGAGTCCGCAGAAGAACGACAGGAAGACGTACATGCTGAAGATCCATGAGATGGTCGACTCGGTGTAGTCTGCAAGGTAGTGCTCGGCAATGTAGGCATGGTAGATACCGACTGTGTTCATCATACCCAAGGATGCGATGAGTCCAAGGAACGACCCTAGAACAACCGACCAGGCACCTAGGCCACCTTCTGGATAGGTTACTTCGTCATTAGCGATGGATGTTGATCGAGATTCCTCATCAAGAGGTCGGTGAGCTTTTTCATCTCCAGTTGCAGTGTTGCTTGGGCGATTCTCCTTGGAGTTGGCCGATGCCGGGGCATCGGCGTTGTGAGTTTGGGCACTTGGGCATGGTGACAGCGTGTCCGATGGCGGGATGGTAAATTCGGCGTGAGGATAAGTGTTGACTCTGGTCAAGTTGTTGTGTGGGCTAAGTGATCCTGGCGTGCTGCCTTTTGGTTCGCTGCTCATACGAAGGGTCGAGTTGGTTTTCGGTGAGGTTTCGTCTAATATGTATGACGATGCGCGTTATTGCGCTGACAAGTTGATGTCAAATTCGTGAAAGATGTCGCAAGCTCCTGCACAGTCCCCGACAAGCGTCCTCGCAGCCCTGAAGTACCTCCCAATCGATGATGCGCGCCGAATTTGAATCGCAGATTGTGGTTCCCCGAGCGGTTTGGTGTTGCATGGTCGAGCTCCCCGAGCGGTATAAGTAGGTTGGATGCCACAGGAGGGGTAAAGAGCCATGACCAATAGACCCACTCTGCCGCTTCGGCAACCACTCGCAATGCGGTATCGCCCGCTGCCGACGAAGGGTTTTCAGCACACCTCTATTCCGACCCGGTGCATGATTCGCCCTAGACGCCGAGAACCAAGACTCTGCTGGACATTGGCGGTGAAGTCAGCATGATGGTCTGGACGACATTGTCTCCGGACATAGTAATTCTCGGAATTGAAGTCGGAGTTGAGCGTCATCGGCATCGGAGAACTTCTTGTGGGGGTTTCCGACCTGCTCGATGATGTCGAAAGCTTTCTTCTCTCGCGAAATGTACCCCAGCAGCTGTTCAGCCATTGGTGCAATCTTCTGGGTGTCGTCGGTGGCTTCAAGGATGGATAGCCACAGCTGCGTGGGAGACGGTGTGACTGTGGGTGTAGGAACATCGCCGAACATGGAGTCATAGCGATCATGGTCGCTGTTATGCCGGGTATATGGTGTCGCTGGCCTTCCGCTGACCTTGGGTGTAGGTGATTGAGTGCTTAGGTTCAGCATATCCAAAAGCATTGTATTCTCGCTGGCTTCATCCGTGCCGACGCTGGAAGCATCGTCGCTCTTCTCCGAACGACATCCTTGGATGGCTCTGTGGAGCACTAGCCAACTACCGCGGAATCTCCAACGGTCTTCGTGCGACATGTCGCGGTCGCGAGAAGCATACGTAGCCCTAAGTCTGCTTTCTAAGAGGTCGTAGAGTGTACCAGGACAGTTCTCTCTGCTGGTTTGGGGAGTTCTGGGACTATCTTGGGGTGGTCTGGAGTACACGCTGTCTTGGCCGGCACGCTGTGACGACGGTTTGCTGCACTGAACACCTCGCGGCAGCTGCGATACGTTCTTGGTGTAAGCCTGCTGATGCGCTGAGCTGCTTGTCGCAGCATCTACACGACCACCTTGGTGCTTCGATCGTATAGTGTACTTCGCCCGGAGGTTGCGTACATCGCGGCGGAGGAGCTTGGATGTCCAGCGGACGTCGTACGGCAAGAAAGAGCGCATCATGATGAAGAGTATAGCTATCAATATAATTGACTGTATTCATGTTAGTTGAGATTGCAGATTGAGGGTTCACTTGGCGCGCACTCACCAATATCAACATGCGTTTGAGTGGCATGCGCTTGATGTTGTATACAGAGGTAGAGGCTGACTGAATGTGAAAAGAGCAATACACGCGAGTGAAGATAGTGTGATTGAAGTTGAGTGTGCGCGCGGTAACTGTACGAGATGTTGCTAGACGGAGAGCAAAGTGACAGTAAAGTGACAATGAAGGGTCCAATCTAATCCCACGTGGTTTGCGCTCGTGCGCGCTTTCAAGGCAACTGCACTTAGGCAGTGTAAACAAACGCACAGCAGGCGCGCCTTTCACTTCCACACGCTTCGACGGGGAACCATCAGCGTTCGCTCCACACTCTTACCAAGGTAGTATCCAAGATGAGAAAACAATCTACCTAAGCGCCTTGCAATTCCCCAACCCTCACTACACGAGATGGGAAAACATAGTAAAAGGCACCGCATTCCAGCGCCTACCTGGAGAAACAGAACAAAAGTCAGTCAGCAGATGTGACATCCGCTCTTTCCGCATACGTCATCGTATACCTACACCATCCACTCCACCACCTCCCCCAACTTCCAATCCACATCCTCCATCCAAGCCCCCACACTCCACGCACCCAGTCCCCTCGGCCACCAACCCTCCTCACCCACCTCCACAGCCTCACTCTCCTTCTTCTCATGCACCTCAACCCAGCATCCGCGCGCCCTCGGCGTGACGGCCGCAATATCAAACGCCCGCCACTTCTGCGTCCCTACTAACACCGCGTCCATCTTCTTGACGTCCGTGTCGTAGTCGTCTACCTGTAGTCCTTCTTGCACCTCTCTGACCGCTTTCTCATGTCTCGGCGCGGATGGGAGGGGCGGTTGCGCGGCGGCCATGCTGAGAGGGAGGTATTTCGTGTTCAACGGCATAGCAGGGACCCATTGCCAGGGTTTGAGTGTACAAGCAAAGAATGGTGCGCCACCGTCGCCTTCTTTGGTGCCAGGAGGGAAGACTTGCACAGTGAGAGTGGATGGAGGTGAGGCGCCGGGGGCAGTAGGCGGTGCGGAGAAAGAGAAGCGGGCGAGCTGTTTGGGAATGTTCCAATTTAGGCGCCCGTTATAGGTTGTTGTGCGTTGGGAGACGTAGATACGCGAGATGCGTTGGGCTTTCTTTGGGATCTTGATGTGTGGTTGGCCGGATGGGGTGGGCGTGGGTTGTGGGACGGTGAAGTTTCCGGGGACGAGGAGGAGTTCGTCGTAGGGGCCTGTGATGATGTTAGAGCGATCACTATGGGTTTTCCGGTTCTATGTGGACTTCAGGTGCATGCTTCCTGCTCTTTTCCTACTCCTTGTAGACGTGTGTGTGATATCCACAATACCCACCAACTCTTCCATCCACAACCTCCCCCCTTCTCACCCTTTCCCATCCCGCTCATCCCACAAAAGAAACATCTCACATACCAACAGGCGTATCCCTATACCTAACAATACACACCGTCCCCAACCCCCCCTCAAACTTCCCCATCGCCTCATTATCCCACCCACCCTCTTTCCCCTCAAGCTCCCCATGCACACCCCCAGGCAACCCCTTCAACATATGAAACAGCATATACACCTCCGCCGTGAGTTTCCATGGCGCCGGCGCACGCGCAACAGGATGGGAAGACGGTTCTTCGGGGTTAGGTGTGGACATTGCGCGTTATCACGATTGTGAAGATTGATCACGCGGGAGGGCAGTGGTGTGGGAAAGACGACACGCAACGGATAGAGATGGATATGGTGATGGTGATGGTGATAGCCGTTTGCTACCGGGTAACGTTGTTGCGATCTGGCATGTGATGCGCAAGATATCCGGTTCAGCCGCGGCTGCGGTGTGCATCTCGAGACATCCCTTGCAAGATTATCTCGGCAAAGTACCAAGTCGACTGTGTGGCACAGCACAGCAGCTTACATCGCGTTGTATAAGCGCCAAGGTGCTTTGTGTTCATCAGTAAGCGCGCGGAGACATCGTATTGTTGTAACGACGGCAGACGGAAGTGATGGAAATATTGCGGGAGGAGAGGGAGCGCAAGTAAGTTGATGAGGAAAGCGCGATGGTCTGAGCGCTGCGTGCTTGAACCCATCCATGCCGCGTTCTTAAGTGCCCCCAGCTCTTCGTGTGACGCATCACCAAGATCTGGTACGATATACGATGACAGTCACACAACGATGAGATGGTCATTTCCTCCACTTGACTTCAGCTCATAGACCCTTAAAGCACAAAAACCAACACCAAACCACCAAACTGCCGTCGTCGCAACTATACCCACCAAGTCCCTTACACTACCTAGCCCCGCCCCGCCTCGCCAAAATTCTGACAACCACCACCACACCAACACGGCACGCACGCAGATGCAGATGCAGATGCACTCATGCCCATCGCGCCCACCTTTCTGCGAACCAAAGAATGTCTTGCATACCAACCGCGTCACAAGTCATCCTAAATATTCTCCACATGCTTCCATCCGTCCACCCATCCCCTCTATCCCTACATGCATCTGCACCCTTCCTTGCACACCGCTACTGATGTGCCGTTCTAATTCCCTTAGTTCCCTTAAACCTTCTCGGCGGCTAACACTCCTGCGTGGAAGAACCTAAGAACAACCTTCCAATACATCTAGTTCCGCCTGCTTTCCCACTCCACCGCATGCTCATGACCGTGCCCGCTGTCTCCTCCCATGCTTAACCCCAAGTAGAATTATCTGGGGGTAATAGAAACTCACCCTGCCCCGCTTTAACCTTGATGGCCCCAGTAACACCCGCGTCTACACATGAGCATGATTTTGTTAGCCATATACACCTGGCAACGAGCCGCATAGCTTAATGTACCCGCGGAGATTAAACACGGAAGCACCTCCTACTCATGCACATGTCTCTGCATTGGGCAAAGACTCGTGTGCGTCCGTCATTGTACTCCGGAAGAACTTTTGTAGGATCTGATCGCTGGAGGAAGAAAAGGGTTCGTGGGCACCCCACAGCACGAGATCAACGATTCGCTGCGTGTCGATTACTACCAAATCGCCGGTAACGCAAACGCGGCTCTGCGTCGATCATGCATATGTCAGCGCACTCTGTCCAGACCCTTTCTTCCTCCCGCGGTCTTTCCCAACGATTTCACTAATTACCATGCCGTTCGTTCTCGTTCTTTCTCCCCATCACTATCCACATTAATACTAAACAGTTTCCCCAGTCGTTGGAGCATTAACTTGTGGCAACGCGTCTATTGGCTGAGAGTCGGGCTACAATTAACAAAAATCCGGCTAACTACGGCGTGCGCGTCCACACAGCAGAGCCTCGACACACTCCCGCCCTGGCCAAAACCAATAGACCCTACGAAGCTAGGTCATGCGGCTCTGCACCTACCCTTTCGTCCTAAACTAGGCGCGGACTGACAGTGTCAATGCTCAAGTAAAGTGCCTGGAGCCAGCCTTGTCCCCAAACAGCAGTCCGCTTGCATGACGCGCAGCAGAACGACGATGGAGCGGCGGCCGCCTCAACCGCCAAGAAACGCTTTGACGCGCCACAGGCGGACGAGTCAGAACACCATACTACTACCAAGGCACGTGGCATGGTAAGCTGTGACCCTGGAGGACCTTGCGTTTCGCCCGTCGCCCGGTTGAGTGGCAATACATCGGCATGTGATGGCTGGTACGTAGCGGGATGGTACCTCGTGGTTGATCGTGTGCAAGGGAACCCATTGTACGAATGCGGTGGCGTATCCCTCGGTACGTTGGTAGCGCAAGGTTGGTGGTTAGGAACCAAACGGCGCGCTACACCGAACAGGCGACGGGCCCGGTCGGTAGTGATGTTAGTAGTGATGGGTAGCCAGATTAGCGATGTTTTGGGCGCGGCTTGGGAGGGTGTTTGTCCGATGGATGAGCGTCATTGCGATGTGGTTCGGAGATGAACGATGAGGTTGATAGTCAGAGCGAGTGGTGAGTTGGGTTGTAGGCTTGAGATTCCGACAATGTGTCCGATGGTCGAGCGTCATCACGATAGATTCCGGAGATGAACGACGAGGTTGACGGAGGAACCGAATAGTAGTGTGAAGTATGTAGAGTGTGGTATTACGGAACCCTCCAAGATGTACTTGTCGGGATAGCCGTCATGTCTATCAACTGTCTCCGAAAATTGAAAACGCCTGTGGAACTCGAGGTCCTATTTTGGATAACTTTTTGTGTACTCTGCGATAGAGGAGAACGCCGTTTCGAAGAAAAAGAGAGAAAAGAGACCCAAGTCTATCAAGCTCAGGGGGATATTCCGCGTAGAAAAAAAAAGACACGATTTGAAAGCAAAGATAGCCAACTCATAACACCTCTGTAATGCACATCGAATTCGTCGTTACCAAGCGCTGCTGTGTATACCGCCCGCCGGTTCAAAAAGGAAGATGTACAATCTCGTGAGGATGTACAAGGAAGCGAAATACGTGGGCGGAGCCAAAAGTAGTCTCTTTATCCAAGGTTATCAGGCCTGGCTGGTTCGGTTTGGTAGACAAATCCTCCAATCCAAATGTAACGCCAGGTAGATGCAAGAACAAGGGACGGGACGAGTCATGACTTTTTTCGTGTTGTTGCTGAACAACATCAGCCGATAAAGAAACAAAATGTCTATGGCGAAGCTGCAAGCGTCGTCGCGGGATATCGAAGATCGGGGTATTGGGAGAAGAGTAGAAGGTTGGGAGACGCATTGAGAGCGATCCGAAGAAGTAGAGTTCTAGAACATGGAGGGGTCGATGCCCATTCCAGCACCAGCGACATTCGCGTTCTGAAGATTTTGCAGATTTGAGGTGAGACCAAGCTTCTGCATCGCCAATTCGGGGTTGCAGTGGGGAGCGTGGGAGCGGTGGTACTTGAGGCCGTTGAGGTTCTTGTATCGCTTGCCGCAGACTTCGCAGCGGTATGGCTTCTCCTTCTCCATGCCGACTGTTCCCGGGTAGGGAATGGATGTGAGAGGGTCGACAATCGAGAAGGTACCGTCGTCGTTCTCCTTGAGCTGCTGGTTCTGGTGACCGTGTTGCTTATGGTACTTGAGACCGTTCTGGTTCTTGTATGCCTTCTCGCAGCCAATGACTGGGCATCGGAATGGCTTGACCTCCTCGGGGAAGGGGAATTGGGGTATGCTCGCGCCGTTGATGAGCTGCTGCTCCCGTAATCTCCTGGCCATCTCGCTCTGGTCATTTCCGCTGAGCTGGTAGTTCTTGAGCGCAGCTTGCAGCTGAGCTTGGTTCAGACCGCCGCCCTGCTTGCTGAAGAGACGCTTACCGGGCTGGTCGATTGTGCCGTTGTTGTCGAATGCGCCCATACCGAAGTTGCCGTTGCCGTTGGCGAAGTTCATGCCCATGTTCATGTTCATGTCCATGCCCATCATTGGGTTGAAACCGCCAAAGTCCATGTCGAGCTCAGCCGGAGTACCCGGGTGTGAGGATTCGGGCGATGTCAGGTTGTGATTTTGCATTGGCATGGTGCCCATGGTGGGGGTGTTGACCGACGAGACGGTGGGGTTGTTCTGCAGGTTGAACTGCTGCGAGGCAGACGGGGTGGTGGGTGTCGATGTGCGCATGCCCTGGTGATTTTGCATGTTGTTGGCGAGGTTGACGTTGACGTTGAGCTGGGGCTGCTGGTTCTGGTTCTGGTTGAACTGGTTCTGGACGGGGAATTGCTGCATGTTCTGCTGCTCCTCGATGGGGCCGAGGTTGTCAAAGTTGATGTCGTCCATGTCCATGTCGTCCAGCGTGTCCATGTCCTGCACAGTCGACAAGTTGGAGCGGCTGACGGAGCCGATGCGCTGGCGGGGCGCGCCTATTGAGCCGGAGCGCGACTGGAAGCCATTCTGTGTGTTGAAGGCCGGGTCGCCCTGTGTCTGGCTTGGTGCAATGGAGCTGGTCGGGGCACCGGATGTGGCTGTGAAGCCGTTCTGCGGCTGCTGCTGCTGCTGTGGGCGGGCGGCCGGTGCGTTGGCGTGCGTCTCCTCGAAGTGCTGCAGGAGGTCGTGCAGGGAGGCGAGGGTGAGGCCGCAGCATGTGAAGTCCTTCATAAAGGCAGCTTCCATCTTGGGCAGGTAGGACGACGAGTGGAAGGAGGGCGAGTTCTGCACAAAGGGCGCGGGTGAGGTACCCATCATGATGCTGGTGCCGATGTTAATTTGGGCTGTTACAACTGGGGATAAGTGGATACTTACTCGTCGCGGATCCAGGACCCGACCGAGTGGCCGCCCCAGCTCATGCCACCTGCGAAGCTACCCATGTTGGTGCTTTCGCGACGCCCACGGTCCTTCATGGTGATGGGGCGGGCGCCGCTGTTGCCGTAGAAAGAAGAGCCGAGCATGCTGATGGAGGGGTGGCGCTCGCCTATGCTCGGGCGGCCATTGTTGAACTCGAAGTTGTTCGGGTTGAGCAGACCGGGCGTCGTGGCCATGTCGGGCTGGGCCTCGGCCTGGCGTAGAGCCGACGTCAGGTTGGACGTCTGGTTCTGGGGTGAGTTGGAGCCATAGCGCGGGGGCGTCTGGATGTCGATGGGCGAGGCGGTAGCCATGTCTGCGAAGCCGCTGTGGACTTGCGGCTCCTCAGGGAAGAGGGGGAAGCTGCAGTCGCCCGCGTCTTCGAATAGCACGTCCTCGTCGGGCTGGCGGCGGGCCACAAGCTCCGTGGGCTTGCGGTGCCAGAGGTGGTGGAGGCCGGCGCTCGGGTCCTTGTTCCCACGCCCAAATTGCGGCGATGCGGGTTGCTCGACAGGCGTGGAGATGGGCGTGCTAGCTGCGGTGGATTCGCGCGGCGAGTGGGAGAGAGGTGGCGGGTGCTCGTAGGAATCCAGCTTCACGGTGGGCGAGGTGAAGGGTAGAGAGGGCAGTGGGGACGACTGCTAGTGGAACGGCGACTCGTTAGGCGCAGTTTCAGATGACTGTGCGGGTGTGTGGCGTCGTCGGCAGTGGTCGTGAAAATGAGAACACCGAATAATAATGGTGTTCAAGTGTGTCTGAGGGTAACTGGAATAGTCGATATGCTCAGTATTATGCCAGTGAATTTACGTGGAATAGGCGTGCCGGGGCGCGGTAGATTATATGCGCAAGTGGGAGCGGTGACGACGAGGGTTAGTATGGGCAGAGCGGCCGACCTCGAGGATCCCTGCACGGTGGGTGGATACGGCCAATTGCGGGCTGGCGCTACTGTGCTCTGTATGCGTCGCTCCTGCCAAAAATGCAACTCTGACGAAGGGCGATCTCGGATTATGCGATGCGAGTGACGGGCGATGTGCGGGATGCAGATGGAGCGATGAGCGATGAAACGGCTGCCCGTCTTCTTAATATTTGGTTCGTCTCTCGGCCTGGCCAGCGCCGGCTTCGTGATTGAAATACGGCACTGCCGGCCGAGGCAACTTTGGGAGAGAGGTGCGCACGGCCACATGGTTTCTGGTACGCGCCCCTACTAGAGCCGGAGCATGGAGACGACTCCAAGCGTCTGCGTCTGCGTCTGCGAGCACTCGTCGCCGTCCAACGCAGGCTTCCCTGGCCCAGCGCAGTAGCATCGCCAACAACTTCTTCTAGAAGCCCTCGTGCGTGGCGCCCTGGCCAACTGGAAAGTACCGTCCATCGCCCTTGCCTTGCCTTGCCCTGCCCGTGGCGCAGCCAACACCACCGTAGCCTTCGCCGCGAACCATCCTATACCCGAGTCTGCTCCGGGCCAGCTCTTGGCTCTACACACCCAGCACCCTACCTAGCATTATCAACCTGCCTAGCAGCTTTTGAATGATCTCTCGTGCGAACCGCCGCTGACGCCCATGCACTCACCATCACTTGCAGTTTGCCCTGCAATTCCACCTGCTCCGCACACTAATATGACTAACATGGCTCTGCTCCGCTGGCTGCTCGCTGCGACTCAAAGGGTCCTGGTCTGCATCACGCCCAACATGCTTCATCCCTACCCGCCTGCCTAGCCACACCAGCCCGCTCACGAGCATCCCCAGCGATGGACATCGTCGTTTCGAACCGTCACTATGTTGCTCGGCCAGGTCGGCAGAATGCATCGTCTTGGCCGGACTGCTCTCGGCTGTTTGACTCTCTTGGGCTCTCTTACACACGCACTCAACTAACCGCCGCCGCTGCCCTTAGCCTGCGCTACATGCGGTACGTACTCTGCTGTTGGGACGACTACATGCCTTTGCCTATTGATGCTCTACATGTAGTATCGTCTACTCGCAAACTCAAAGTTACTGCACCTCTAGCACCTAGCGCTGTGATCACTAACCACCGCGATAATACTCGGCAGGTCTTGCGTTGCTTTTACCCCATGGTCTTCCTGTCTGGGGTAACGAGTCTGTCGCTTACCCGCCTGCATCACGGACTGCCTGACTGCCTGACTGCTATAGCTGAAGCTACCGACGACCCGAAATGTCGTGCTCGTCCACCAACCACGACACGATAGCACACACCAAACCCCCACGGCCGCCTCACAAGCCTCATTTCCAACTCCTAACTTCCGTCAGTTGCATATTCGAAACATGCAGCCTGTCCCGTGACGGGCACCGAGCACCGGAGTCTTCTCATACCGCAACTATGTCTGCCCTACCCAAGGCCAGCCATCCTTGCAAACGTCACGCCCGGCTCGCTTCACGTCGTGCGCGCTCGTTTCATTGGACCCTGCAGCAGCTCATTCTCCCACGTCGTGCTCAATGAGGGATCCCGCCCTACACCAGTCCCAATTTCATCCCACTTGCTGTGTCACTCCAGACACCTCATCACCGCCCCAGCGAAACACGTACCAAAGACGTCGTCCCGTGGATTATGATTACGACGTCTGAGAAATATCACCGACGGTACGCGCCTGCACTCGTCATGCTTATGCTGACTGGCCTCCTCGGCGAGGGCGGAATCCGTTGGGGCGCGGCTCTCCCGCTGTCGCTTGTTCACAACACCACCGCCAAGCGCCATTGGCGGAAGGCACAACCGGTGCAACTTCCGACTTGCGAGCGGCTGGGTGGCGACGTCACTCACTCTGCCCATCCATCGCCAGACGGCCCCAACCCTGAGATGCACCTCGTCTCAGCTCTCGCTGCCAGCCACCAATCCAGCGTTCTTCCGCCACGCACGGTACCGTCAGCTGAATCGTCGCTCCCGACCCGAGACGAGCGCATCTTGGTACAACTCTTGCAGTAAGTGTGGCGAGCGACGCATCGTCAGATTCACGATGCCCCAGATCGCATCAGGACTCCAGCCCAATCCTGGCTAGCAGCCTTCACCGCCAACTGCCGCCGTGACGTACCCGGTATAACAACGTCTGCTATCCGGTAGCGCGCGACAGTGCATCATCTCCTAGGCTGCTTGCAGATGTATTGCATCTTCCGATCTTATCAATGTCCAAACTGCACCATGGTCCTTTTCCGCCGGTTCACAGTACCATGGGAAGACACTCTGGGGTAACGGCTACAACGGCTACAGCTCCAGACAAGAACACTGTCATGCCAATTGCGGGGTAAAAAGTAACTCTGGTATCCAAGTACGTCGACGTAGACTGACCCGAACATCAAGCGAACGTTCTGTACCAACATTTGTGACGACTCCAGCACGCAGGCATGAAGCCAGCGCATGGCACACACAAACGCCCCAAACGCTCCCGGAGTCGGATCCATCACTGTCCAACGTTGCGACACTACGTGGTTAGAAACGGCCCTTCATCATGTTCACAATATGCGCGTCATTGCTTTTGGCGTCAGGCACGCCTACCCCATGGGACGAATCGCAGACCATAGCAACCCGTGCTACTATCGTCTAATGTCAGTAGTCTAACTCACCTCGCTTAAAGGCCCAGCTCTCGCTGTCACGTTGTCGACAATGCAACACCAAGCAACACGGATAATTACTTATCCCACTCGGTAGTCGCAATTTTCATGAAATTGTCCGAAACATGATCGCTTGTGGCGCCTCACACGATGTCTCGAACCCACACTGCACTGTCTAATACGTTGTGTCCGCCATCTCCACACCTCCACCTGCAGCGCCATGCATGATTTCAAGCTTCAACGCTAGAACCTCTAGCGCGGGCTCGGTCCTTTCTTGGGTCACGTTATCGGGCCGCTACCATACACGCAGAGCACATTCGGCAACTGCCAGAGATCAAATGTTGACATCAACAGATGTGCAGCATGGATTGACATCGGAATACCGATTCTAGACTCTCCGACTATGCAATCGAAGGATTCCGGCCCTGGACAGCTGAGACGTTGTGATGTTGTCTTCGGTCAAATACATCATCTTCGGCCCTACATCCATGGGCAACACGAGCGCACGATCAGCCTTGTGACGTCAACCTCGACAGGATGAATCGTTCCTCTAGGCAGCTGAACCTAACGCTGGCGAACTGCTCCGCGAACGATGTTGTTAGAGGCGATGGGATCGAGGACGGCCGACCTTATCTACCTGATCGGCAATATGCTAGTAATAGCTTCCTCCCGCACTTCGGGATAACTACATCCAGAGTGTTGATATGCGAGCCCGCGCGTCACTGTCGCGCATGTGTGCGGCGTGGCATATGTCATCCCGCCAAACCCTGGCTTTTGTGACGAAAGATGCAGCACTCATCAGTCGATGCCCCCTCGGAACCGCAATCACATTCCAGAGGGACTGACCTTCCGAAAAGGTATACTATGGGAATTTGTACTCGACGATCGTTCAGGCGTAATGTGGCAGGTTCGGCTTTGCTTTACCCGGTGGGATACACGTTGGAGGTGAATCATTTGTATTGGATGATCGTCGATATCGTCAGGCTTTGTGAGTAATGCTGAGTACATGACTTCTTTCGCTCACCCTGATGGTCACGGACGGCTCTTGACATCAGAAGACACGTGTGCTCATTACAACACCCGATTACCTCTTACCCTTCGATCCGTCAACAACGAGAAATGGAGAGGCTTATCTGTGTGGAACGACCATACGCGCAAGAGACCCATCACGACCGAAGTACTGCCTGCCAACGATGTCGTAACAGCGATGACAGTGTGCCATACGACCATGTCTTCATTGTGATATAGGGGTATCTTCTCAGGATCGGTGCACGACATTCCACCCATCGGAGCTTCGAAACGGCCGACATCTATCAGCCTCATTTGCTGGCATGGGCATTTCTCGAAACCATTGCTACAACTCACCCCTTCAACATCTCATCACCACACAGTCTCGTTGAGTGCTCGTTGCGGGTGCCTAACATGTGCAAGACTGGATAAGACACTTCAAAGCGAATCGCAATCGACCACAAACACACATGTGAATGAGCAGCATATATCTGGAAAGGCCTTAGACACGAAATACTGCAATAGTTTGACTTCAGACGTCAACTGGTATTCTTCCCAACGCATAGCTCTACTGTGGTACTGGAGTGAGTATCAAAACAACGCTTCCCAACCTCTATCATCAAATACAACACTTCTTCAGTTCAACGATCCGGATCAAAGTCCCTAATCTCCTCACGCGGCTTCCTCCTCCCCTTCCCCTTCTTCTTAACTCCTTCAACCTGCACCACCGTCTCCTCAGCAGCCGCACCAGCATTCCTCCTCCCAACCAACCTCTCCAAAACAGCCTTCCTCGCTTCCGCCTTCTCCTCCCTCTCCGCCCCCAACCAATCAAACACACCCTCCACCTCCGTAAACTGCATAAAACCACCCCCTCTCCACGCATCCCCATGTACCTTCTTCCCCGTCTCATTATCCATCTCAGCAGTCTTTTGCGAACTGAGCGCCCGTCCCCAACGACAATACACCAACCCCTGCGTAAGCACCCTCACCCTCACCCCCATATCCCTCCACTCCCTCTTCTCGTAAACAGGATCGCTGAGCGTAGACGAACCAACCTCCCACCCACCTTTCCGATACGCAGTCACCCCGTTAAAACATAAGATTTGCGTCAACGCCGTATCACCCCCCGCACGCTTCTTCTCCGTTTCACTCAACGCATCACGCCGCTTCTGCTCATCCTCCTCTACGTCTTCGTACTTGTTCCGCATATTACGTTGGCGCATGGATGCGTCGTTCCAACATTCCATAATAGAGGAATCGTAGTTATCTTCTTTGAAGAGCGGGACGTGGTGGTATGCTGTGTGCGGATCGAGGTGCATGTGCAGGGAGAGGAGGCCGGCGGAAACGGTGAGGCGGCGGAGTTCGGGGAAGACGGAGCTGAGTGAAGGAGCGGGGGTGGGGGGTGGTGTGGAGGAAGGGGAGGGAGTTGAGGGAGGTGGGTGGACTAGGGAGAGGAGGGGCGAGAGGTGCGTCCATAGTGCTCCGATGATGGTGTTGACGTGGGCGTTGAAGTTGTGCGGGAGGGATGTGGGCGTGGGGAGGTGGGCGAGGATGGTTGCTGCGTATCGCGCATTTCTCTCAAATCCTGTGTTGTGTCAGTTCAATCCCCATCTCTCTGGTTCTCGTTCTCGTTCCCTGCCCAGATTGATGGAATAGTTGACTCACCATCCCAATCTTTCATCTCCCTCTGTACCGCCGCAACAGCTCTAACACCCTCCTCCGTCCCACCAAAGAATGCATGCTGCAACACCTGCTCACTTAACACATTCCCTATCATCGCACAAACTAACGCTTGCATCTTCTCTTTGTTGACAAAAAGATCGTGCCACCCCCATACCCCACTCGGCCCGCCACTCGCCACGCAGTTAATTAGTTTCGCCGTCTCTGGTGTTAAACTCTCAAAGAACAACTTGTGCACGAATCTGTCGCCGTCGGCGGTCGTGGTGGTATGCCCGGCATGCGCACCCTTCGGAAAGTACTTTTTTGAGAAATCTTCGACAGAGGACATGAGCGACCATAAACCGTCGCGGATTTCGGCGTCGCGGAAGGCGTACAGTGGTTCTGAGGGTAGTTCTGCGCGGATGAGGCGGGGTGAAGAGAGGAGTTCGCGGGCGCGTAGGTTGGGTTGGGTTGACCACCTCTCCTCTGGCGTTCTTGTGTGCCAATCGCGTGGGTATTCGAAACCGGGGGGATGGGTGGTGAGGGGTGAGGTCATGGTGCGTTGGGATGGTTGTGGTGTGGTGAGTTCGGTGATGGCTTTGGCCGATGAAGGTGAAGGTGAAGGTCTAGTCGGTGTAAGCCGTGTGGTAGCCGTAGTCAATCTAACAGCCCCCGTTCTTGGTCTTGGTTGTTTGCCAACAGGTGTGTGTTTGAGTCTGTCTACTTCGATCTCCCTCCTACTAGGACTGACTAGTCTGGCCGACGAAGTCGTGGGAGAGAACGATAGTTGCAAGTCGTCGTCGCTGCTGGACCAATCATTTTCATCGATCGCTTCGTCTTCTTCGTTCTCAGTCTCGGTCTCGCTACCTGTGCATGTTGATGGCGACGGCGATATCGCTACATGCGTGCTTGCACCAGCCAGCGTGTTCCCTCCTTTGTCGTGTGGCTCTGTCCTACCAGTCCTACTACCAGGACTTCCCGCTTCAATAATAGTGTGCAAATCGCGCGAAAGTTTGCGCACGGATTTCGGAGTCGCGTACGGCCGGGTATCGTCATCTCCATCATCTTCATCCCCATCTTTAACTTCAAATTCAGCTTCAAGTTCAACTTCGTCTTGAAGTTGGCACGCTGCGGCTTCCTCCTCATCCAGCTCATTCCCATCCATCTCATATCCATCATCTCCACCCACCGTCACCGCCCCCGCACCAGCATAAACCGCATTTTGATACTCCTCCGGATCATACGCTTCTCTCTTCCTCTTCCCGCCCGAGCGCGCGCTAGGGATATCTGATATATTGCGCTTCTTGGTGGGTGGATGTTTAGCGGGCGAACTGAAGAGGTTGTGGAGGAACGACATTGCGCGCGATGGTTGTTGCGACGGAGGAGTGAAGCGTCAGAGAGATGAGATGCGCGCTGTGTGCTTAGTATGATTTAGTATGGTAAATTGGCCGTTATGAATGGCGTACTTGCACCAATGCGATGGCTTGCGTCACCGGCTCTTGTATGTTGTATGGCTAGGGTGGTCGCTTTGTCTTTGTTGGTGCGCGACCGCATGCGGCAGTTGGTGGGAGCGTGCAGCCGGATGGAGGTTTGCGATTGTTTTTGCGTGGGAGCAACAAAGACACCAAGAGGTGTTTTCGCGGTATCTTTGCGGTGCAGCGCGACAATGAGTGTCTTTGACGTCGTGGTTGCCTACTGTGTTGCGACGTTAGAGTGAGGTCCGGTGAGGGTAAATGCATGCGTCGCATCGTTCTGGCTCAATCGTCGAGCTATCAGATCAGCAGAGGGAGACACAGCAAGAGACTTCAAACCCCATTGAAAGAGGAACCACTATCATTACCTCTGTAGAGTAAACCCGCTATGCTAGATACGCCTGGCTCGATAAGTAAATGTAGAGCGATGATGCAAGGAAACGCTAGACGACAACAATAGACAAAGAAACTTGAATTGAGTTTATGACTTGGGCGGTGGTGTAAAGTTCTTGTAGAAACAAGAACATAATGTGCTCTCAATCTGAGGCTTAAGCCTGACGTCGTCGCCTGACGAGCTCGTGCAAGCTGGTACTCCTTGTCCACCTGCTACGCTTTGTTCGATCTTGACGGCTATTTCACGTTAGTTGTTGTGCGTAGGATGAGAGCTGCCAGTGGTGCTTACCGTATGGCCATGCCTTGTTTGGGACCTTTCCAACTGCGATTGTGTCGTCTGGGTAAGTCTGCTGCATCTTGGTGTACAAGATGCCCTGCATGTTTGTCGCACCGTAGTCGCACTCAAAGTCGCCTCTCTTCCCTCCAAGGCTTCCCGTCATGTTGACCGTCTTTGACCGCGTGATTTGGAACCGGTATCGCTCGGTGTCCTTCCCGGCGTCCAGCAACTCGAGGTCTTCATTCTGGAACGTCAGGTCGAATGTGTCGTCCTGCTTGCCCGAAGATATCTTGTAAGACCCTGTGGAACCGCTGATGTCCCAGTTCAAAATGGTAAGAGCTTTCTGTTGGTCATCGTAGTAGTTCGTGTTCGGCGGGCATGTCCAAGTGTCTGGGTCTGAGGTGCAGTCTGTTGTAACGGTATCGAGGAAGAGGACGAGGGACCAGCTTCCGACGGGGAAGTTCGAGGGGACAGCGGAGGGTGTGGAGGTGGTGACTGCAGATGGGGGATCGTCGTCGGTCGTGGAGGGAGAGTTGGAGTCAGGGTTGGAAGCGGGCTTGCTATCGGTACCTGCTGGTGTCGTTGAGCCGCCTGTGTTCGCTGCGGGTGCGCTGCTGTAGAAGTTGTCAGCGTGAAGTCCCTTTCTGAATGGTTTGTCAGTGCTGGCCTACCTCTTCGAGTCCTTCTTCAGTCCCAACGCCAGTCCAACGCCCAATGCCACGATCAGCGCGATGATCAGGGCGGCGACCACGGCAAGCTTCTTCCATCCCCAGGCAGCACATCCTCTCTGCCTCCGTTGCCGTACGTGTCCAAACTTTTCCTCGTCCCGGTCACTCCACACGCTGACACTGAGATTGCTCCCATTGTGCATGTCCTCGCTGCTTTCCCTTGGCGTGAGCAACCTGCCGCCCGTCAAGACCGATTGGATGAAGCCGGGCTTCTTCTCGACCCTGTGGTGTTGTACTGGTCCGACATGCTGATGTGACGGGTCGTTGCAGAATGTGCTTTCAGTGGTGACGCTGATTTCGGCAGCCTTGGACGAAGCCGACTTGCCTCGTTTGGCGTCGAGGATTACGGAGAGACGCTGGCCAGCCGGTGTCGAGATGCGCTTTGCCGGCCGGTCGTCACCGATCTCGTAGTGTGCCTTTGCGCGCTTGGAGCGATAGAAGTTCATTGGATCGGAGGCTGTGGGCTATATTGCTTGTGACTCGCGGTGTATGGTGTTCTGTGTGTCAAAAGAAAGCGTCCAAGTTCTCCTGACTGCAATGGCTATCGCTCTGCGGGTGGCTTGCCGCTATATCGCGCTATAGCCTGGGAGCGTAGGGATGCCGATGACGAAGACGATGGGGGTAGGGAGGTGAGAGGAAGATAACAGGAGCCTCCCTCTCCACGGCTGTCAGGCGCGACGCACCCGCCTGAGCCATGACAGCTCTCGAAAGCTTGTACGAGACGGAATCTTGTTGACATGATCCTACTCAGGCCTCGAGCGCATGGAGCCTGCACTCTATCACGCGCTAGCGACCGTTATAGTATCGAAGTAAACTTCAACGGGCTAGGCGGTCACCCCATTCTCCTGACCATCACTCATGGAGCTGGTTCTCGGTGGAGCCGCACGGTGCTGCGTCGGGAACGGGTGCGCCATGCATGGGCAGATCATGAGAGCTTCGCGGGAGCTTTTATGCAGACAGGATGATGGCGTGCTTGACATCTGGGGTTGAGGAGGTATTCCACGGGCCTGAGGCAGTCTCAATGCCCTGCCATCGTCGCGAGGCGCTGTCGCACGAGTGAAGTTTGTTTGCAGTCTCGTTAGTAGTGTCGTTTCGGCGGCGGTGTTTGTTTTGCTGAGTGATTAGGGGGCGCACGTCGCTAAATTCGGAGCCTGTTCCTGCATTCGGCCCAGGGATCCGGGTCCGAGGGATTTTGCTGCCAAGTCTCGAGCTGCACCTCTCTCAACTTTCTTTCACGTGCCTGCGTGTATACACCGTGACAGTCACAAGCGGCGATACTCAACACGCCGAAGAAGATATCTGGGTAGGTGTTTGTTACGAGACTGTGATGTCTGATGAGGAGCGACGCTAGTGTCGAACGCGCTTTCCTCACGCGCTCTCGCTCTCACCGCGCGCTTCACCGACGCGTCACAAACGCGACTGCCTCAATCATGCTCTCGCCTACCGTGACGTTTGCACACCTGCGCGCACTTCACTCGGAAAATTCTTTATCAACTCACTGCACGCACTGACTCCAGCTTTCTCCGTGCGACCACTACCTGGTTCTTAGCAGCTGCTCAAGGTGTATAGCAACTCGGCAATCCCCATCAGCATGACCGCCAATCGAGTCAAGGTACGCCTTGTCCCCGGCTGCTCCGACGGCGATCCTCTCCATGTCCCTCCTCCGGGAGCTCATACCCAGCTTGATCCACCGACTCTTTACCTCGAGAAGATCGGCCAGCAATGGATGGAGAGTCGAGATGAAGCTAAGCCGGGTGTGCAATACATCCTGGAAGACCTGCCCTTTGGTTACACCCTTTGGCATCGTCCACGACCATCTAAACCAAGCCATTTCGACAAGTACCTGTATGGCCATCCTGGAAAGAAAGCATTCGACTCGCCGAACAGATTCTTTCCACATTTTCTGCATCTGATGAACAACAACGGCAACAGCATTGGCTGTCCATGTACGCTCTGCAGCGGAAGTGCTGGTGTGCTTCCAAAAACTTCAGCCAACAGCTCGCAAGTACGCAGCTCCAGCGGGGCGTCTTCCCGAAAGGTATCCAGCTCGTCTGCTTCTCTGTCTCTGCCAAGCCGGCCTTCCAGTGCCCACAGCGTTCAATCGCCCCCAGTTGCACCGCCGCCGCCTAGTCTGGCACCACAGCACAAAGGTCGGCCAAAGAAGATAACTCCTGGTCTCGACAGGACGAACGTGGACAGTGAGGGCACTCCCGACGTCTACAGGAATCTCATCGATAAGCTTCGCCGGCATCGCGATGTGGACGAGCCCATACTTGAGCCCTTAAGTCCAGACTGGCGCGCTGAACAAGAACACCTTCGAAACTTTCAGGCCGAAATAAAGAGACAAGACCAATGGGTTCCGCGGACTGGAGACATTGTCCTGTACATACGCAACATGCCCGACACCGTTGAATTGGTACGAGACAACACCACCGGTGAGCTTCAGCTGTACGATGAGCGGCGCAAGCAGCATCTCGGTATCCCACAATGGGCGGCAGGCCTGGTTACTGAGCCGGCTACTGGTACTACGGTCGCCGAGCTCGCTTCTACTCAGGAGCGCAATGTGTCCAGCATAGGTGTACGTGTCGAACCGATCCCAAACCCCAACGATCCGGACAAGTCGCTTTCTAAGAGACACAAGTACGTCTTGTTGCGACAGACAAGCCCGTTCGTCATGTGGAGAGATCTCTTGCGCCGCATCCCTCAAGAAGACTGGCATGACACTGTCAAGAACGCTCTCGCCCTGATGTCGACGCTCTCTCTCATGGGCAAGTATCGATTCCGAGGATCCTGGCCTAACGCGAGCATATACTGCCACGGCATCTACGTTGGCGCTGAGATGCTCGCTGTTGGGGACACAGTTCGTCTTCTTCCCAACAAGCAGTCTGGTCAATCTGGCTGTACGGACGTCATGAGCATCAAATCGATTCGATTGAAATGGACCAACCTGGATAAGGCTTCCGACAATGACTATGACGAGGGACGGCCCTACAACTCCGAGATATGGATCTATGGCTCAGCGTACACCAGCGACGGCTCACGGTCTAATAAGCAATGGGTGACAGAGCATAACGTCGAAGCCCCGAGAGTGGCCAATGACTATGCGGACTGGTATCCATTGCACCCTGCTGACAAAGAGCTGGCTATCCCCTACTCACGCGTCCTTGGCCGTCTGCATGAGCAGGACGCCCTGGCTTACTTTCTCAAATCCGATCACGACCCTCCCGGACTTGACATTGGTCGACAAGCCGTCACTGAAGCGCGCGCCTTTGCTCGGAAACACGACAATCGTATAGCAGCAGAGTCTGATGCCACCTGGTATTGGGGAGACGACCGAGCCGATGCTCTCAATCTCCACACCATCAACGGTCTCGACGTGTCGCGCTATGACCTCGATCGCGATGTCAAAGATCTCCGCCGCAAGTACCGCCAACTAGATGGTATCGCCAAAGCAGACGCGAAGCCTACAGGTCAAGACATACTCAACGGCAGGGGATTGCGTACCTTCATGGCGCCGGCTTTGCCACTCCGCACGAGCGGCGCGAAGGCACAAAGCGAAAGCGGAAGCTCGATGGCAAGCGAAAGCCACGCGTCTCGAAAGCGCACGCACATCGTCGACCTAGATGACGAGGATGACACTGAGGAGGATGACATCGACGAAGAGATCAGAGAGCACACCAAGGTTGTGCAAGATGACCGCGAACGTCCGAAGAAGAAGCCGAAGGTGATGGTGGTCATCGACTGAAGGCCAACCATCAGCACATCCAAGACCAAACGGTGAATATACGAGGATACGATTCGATGAGCATATGTGAGATGCTTCACTCTTGCAAGAAGACATTATACATTAGGAATATGGCGATGGACGAGGTGGAAGCCTGGATGATTCCCAAGGCGACTTTACTTTATGCGGGAGGATCACTGTTGATACCCACTACTACGATATAATCGAGTAACTGTATTTCATGTACTGTACCAGATCCTCGTGATATTACGGCAGATGCCAACACTGGCTGCTTAGCAGCCACAATACCAACATACAATAAATGTCCTTGCGTATCTTTAACTTGGTGACGCACTCACGCAGCAATCACTTCCAATCCCTCCATCCTCTCAGACTCCTCCGTATCAACCTCATCAAGCTCAACATCACCTTCTACAGTCATGTTCCCCTCTTCATCTGCCCCAGAATTCGCTTCTTCGATATGCGCCGCAGCCACAAGCTGCCGACTTTACAGACTTGCCTAGATGCATCATCAAGACCGAAACCAAGAGTTCAAGAGCCTCGCTGCCAATGCGATCCTGGGCGATCTACTCGCGTCATTGAATATGTAGTAGTATCCATGGGCTTTAGTGAAGATAGAACGCGAGCGAGGGACATTGTCAAATTCGGGCTTGCGGTAGTCAAGTGAGCAACTATAGCTAAAGCTTTGACGCTACGAGATTTGAGCCTGGTCCGGTCAAAAGCACTTGCTATCATTTGTTGCGCTTCGGCGCGGATGAAGACAGCGGGCAGGTATGAGGCGTGGTAACCAACAGGTAGTACAGGTGAAATTGACCACCCTGTGGCCCCCACCCTCACTTTCAAAAGAGTCACGGATATGATTCACGAGAATGACTCATGCGTGCTTTAAAACTCGAGAATAATGTGATCTAGTATCTCCATTACACAACATGCACGACGGCCGGATCTACAGGCTCATTTCTTTATGTGACGGCGGCTCTAAGAAGCATAAGCCACTACACAACGATCTAGAGGGCTGCTATCAGCGATTCTGGATCTGGGTTAATTACACGGGGGCTAGGGCAGATGACGAGTCGAATTTAGATCAGCGACTGGAGTTCAGCCCGGACTTGCAGACCGAGGTAGCCCGGTTGCTTAAACTCATCATCAGGAGCCTAGCGGGAGGCATGACACCATTTCATATCCTTACTCGACTTGAAGCTGACACATACAGACTTCCTATCAGCAACAGCCATCCATGGAGCTCTCGATGAAATGGAGCGCATCATGATGATCAAGTCAAGAGACAAAGGCTGCTTTGAAGTGGCTGCGGTCGGGTGGGTGAAGAAGCTACACCCTGATATACCGGAGACTTTGGCCGAACAGCTCGGCATATCCATCGAATGCAGGCGACTTCGCCTACTCCGACAAAAAAAGTACCAACAGGGATTTCCCCTTGAAGGATATCAGCATCGTCAGGCACGGATGACGCAGCCAGAAGATCAGATGGTGGCCACGTTGGACCGTGTGACTCTGACCGACGCTCCAGTGTTGGATCCAGCACTACCACCAGATGATGCTTCGCATCAGCAGAGTATCCGGTCTGATGCCATTACATCATCGGCATCTCAAGCATGTTTGTACCCAAAAGCATCCAAGCCACCAAAAGGCTCCGAGTGGTGTGAATGTAAATGGTGTTGCAACAAGCTCGGGGCTGAGAACCTACGGTATAAAAGATGGTGGGCGTATGTCTGCCTATGAAGCTGTCGATCGTCGTTGGCAAGTAAGCTTACAAGATACAGATTGCACTGGGACGAAGACCTTCAGCCGTACACGTGTATCGACAGTCGGTGTGAGTGGCCGCCGATATACTTCACAAGCGTAGACCAATGGCAGAAGCATATGGTGGAGGAGCACACCGCTCGCTGGACGGAACAGATCCACAGGAAGGTCCAACACTGTAGCCGACACGTAGACAAGGATGGCCGTACAGACCGAAAGGAGTTCCAAAACCCCAGAGCACTCCGCGACCATTTGGCTGACGAACATGCTCTAACGAGAATGGATGTTGGATGCACCCCTTATCGAATCAGATCGCCGGGAACATGTCTGTTCTGTAACTTCGATGCCGCTGCCAAAGCAGTTCCAGAAGATGAGCTTGAAGCAAGCAAGAATGCGAACGTCGGTGACACTGCTGTTGAAGCGCGTGAGTCTGAAGAGCTTGTTCGAGAAAAGCTCTGGGAGCATATCGGCCATCATCTCAGGAACTTGGCTTTCTTATCGCTGAAATGGTTCGAAGATGACAAGGTCGACGTCAAAGGGGGTGATGGAAAGGCGAATGCCGCGCAGAGGGAAGGATCTAGTGATGATGATGATCGGGAAGCGGCGTCGGTAGCGGGGTGCTAAGCTTTGTCCTCAGTAGGATCTAGGTCCACTCCTTAGACAGTCTTCAATCTACTATACCTGAGACTTGAGCGATGATGAGCCGCTTGAGAAGTCGGTGCGATGGTCAAAGGATAAGATGATTACGACTGACAGACAAATTAGGCCGATGCGTACGCACGTACGCTAGCGCGATTACTCAACTGTTCCGAGGTTCCGAGGGACGCGTCTTCCCCGCATCGAAGCTAATCATGCAACCAGCACCAGCACTACAAGCTATGCACAACAAGCTTTCGGTAGTAGATATCTTGCTCTTTGTATCCGCGACAAGATGTGAGGAAAAGTGACCCAACATCTCGAGGTTGTACCCAACAGGCCGCCTCCTCCTTCAACATCACCACAATGTCCAAAAACACCACCAACAAACCCGTCATCGCCGTCGTAGGCGCAGGCCCAGGCATCGGCGAAGCAGTAGCCCACCGCTTCGCCTCCGAAGGCTTCGTCGTCGCGCTCCTTGCGCGAACAGAAGAAGCGCTACAAACCATGGCCGCGAACATCAACAGCGACGTCGGCACCGGCACCGCACATTACTACATCACAGACCTACGCGTCGAAGACACAGTAACATCGTCCTTCAAGCGCATCCGCGAAGAGCTCGGCCCCGTTAATGTGCTTGTTTACAACGCTGGCGCGCGCCGCGTAAACGGACGTTCGCTCATCGATACCACGAGCGAGGAATTCGAGAACTTCACCAAGATCAACCTGTTCGGCGCGTTTTGGGCGAGTAAGCTCGTTATCCCGGATATGCTTGCCGCGGGCAGGGGAACCATTCTCTTCACCAGTGCGACGGGTGCGTTGCGCGGTATGCCAGGCCTGGCGTCGTTTTCGCCCGGAAAGTTTGGGCTGCGCTCGCTGTGTCAGGTGATTACGCGGGAGTATCAGGCGAAGGGTGTTCATGCCGTTAATATCATTGTCGATGGGCCGGTGGATGGGAAGTTGATTGGCGGAGTGATGAAGAGGCAGTGGGAGCGGACGGGGCAGACGGACAAAGCGGCGGATGTGGAGAGTCATCTTGTTCAACCGAGGGATTTGGCGCATACGTACTGGTTCTTGCATACGCAGCCGAGGAGTACGTGGACGCAGGAGTTGGATGTTAGGGCTATGAAGGAGACGCTATTCACCAAGCTGTAGATAAATCAAAATGTATTGGCTGGTCTCAGTATACCTATCCAAAGACCGAATGGAATGTACGATAGAGTTCCTATATAGTCCGTTCAAAGGACTACAAACGAGCTTTCGTACTCTTTCCAGCTTCTTCCGCCTTCGCTTGCTCAGCAAGTACCCTCCGTAGTATCTTGCCCGCATTGCTCTTCGGTATCGCTTCCACAAAGCGGATACCGCCCCTCAACTTCTTGTGCGGCGACACACGCTCGTTGAACCATGATTGTAGCTCTTCTTGCAGCTTCTCATCGCCTTTGTACCCCGCTGCCACAACGATATATGCTCTCGGTAACTCCGTCACCTTCGACTCACTGTACACGCCAATAACGGCCACATCGGCGACCGCCGGGTGGCCAATCAAGAGAGCTTCGAGTTGCGCCGGCGCGACCTGAAAGCCGTTGTACTTGATGAGCTCCTTGACGCGGTCGGTGATGTACAAGTTCGCATGCTCATCGAACTTTGCGACATCGCCGGTGTGATACCATCCTTCCGCGTCGAAAGCCGCGGCCGTGGCTTGGGAGTTGTTGTAGTACCCTTTAAAGATATTCGGTCCTTTCAGACACAGCTCACCTTCTTCGCCTATCCCCATTTCCTTTCCGTCACTCACGACCTTGGCTGACATGCTGGGCAACAAGCATCCGGATGTGCCCAACGCCGTGGTCCAGGTTTCGATGCGTTGCACGCTCACGGCGGGCGCGGCTTCAGACATGCCGTAGACTTGGAGTGTTTGAGCGCCGAGGCGCTTGTGTATCGCGGTGATGATCTCGACGGGTATTGGGGCGGCAGAGGAATGCAGGTCGCGTAGGGACGTGAGGTTGTACTGGTCAACGATGGGGGCCTTCGCTAATGCGAGCGCGACAGGCGGAACGATGTAAGCGATGGTGACTTTCTCTTTGTCTACCGTCTCGCAGAATCTCTTGAGGTCAAAACCTGACATGATGTGATTGGTCACGCCGTAGAAGATGGTGTTTAGCAGTAGTGTAGCAATTCCTGCATTTATCAGCGCATGTTTAATTGTGAACTCGTTGAGCTTACCGTAGATGTGATACATGGGTAGGAAGCCTATACCCGTGTCTGTTTTCCAGTTGGTGTTGTAGCCATTTGCCGTCGTAGCCTGAATGCTGTTTGCTACGACGTTCTCATGCGTCAGCATGACACCCTTTGGCTCGCCAGTGGTTCCAGAAGAGTACACCAGGTACGCCAGATCTTCTTTGGGGTCGATTTTGACTCGGTTCATGCTGACTGACGCGCTCTTCAGAGAAGAGAAGTGCTGAACGGGGATTGTAGGCTTGTTGTTTCCAACCAGCAGTATATGATCCAGAGGAAGGCCGACTTTCGATGCTGCCTTGCAAGCGACCTCAAGACATGCCACAATTGTCAACAGTCCCTTGGCTTTCGAAGATGTCAACTGAGATACCAGCTCATCGACGGTGTACATGGGGTTTAGAGGACACACGACACCTCCAGCAAGTAAGGCGCCGAATGTAGCAGGCGCGACATCGATATCATTCGGCGTCATGATTGCCAAAACATCGCCTTTGCGCCATTGCCATTGCTCCTGGAGGCCCTTCCCGAACGACTCCGCGGTGGATCGTAAATCAGCATATGTGAGCTTTCGGCCGCTGGCAACGTCTACGAAGAGCACTGTTATCGTGTTAGACGCCGCTCGATAGATGTAAATGAAGGCATACCATGATCATCCGGGTACTCGCGATCCGGTCGCTCGAGAAAATATGTCCACACATCGACGGCGGGTATGGTAATGGGCGGGTATGACGACTCAGTCGGCATTGTTAGCAGTGTATTATTAGCAGTGTAGCAAGAATGAGTGATTATGCTGCAGCGTTCAGCTTGGAATAGATGTTATATTTCCCATCGACGTGATCGTCATTGAAGTAGCGCATTCGAATATTAGGGTTTGGTACTTCAATGGCTACGTCCGTAACACGAACGCGTCAGCGGCGATCGCATGTGATTAGTCGTGGGTACCCAAGCAGGCACCTCGAGACCTCGGGAGAAACCATTGACATGGGCCCAGCGCTCCAGACACGGGCAATATTCCTTCCGCCCATATACAGGCATTTGGGGACTGCGAGAGCACAATGTAACGCGGTAGCTGTAATCCTGAGGCCGTGTCCCTGAGTGCCGGCTCGGTTGAGCTCACACAAGCACAATCGTGAATTCAGATGGGAGGCGATCGTCTGTGTCTGCGAAGGATATTGCTTGCTGTAGTTTGAGCTGAGGACGCGCACATTAATGTGTTCTGGTTGATGAAGGTAACATCGAGTTCGGCGGGATCGGAAGCTGGGAAAGCGCGCCAACCGAAAGCAGACTAGGCTATCATCACGTGGTCCCGGCAAATCTCCGTGAAATCTGGCTCGCGCAAGCAACACCAAAACACAACACACCCGTGGACTCTTCACATGCACGAAAAGACATCACATGAGACATCTGGAACATCGTAAATGACTTCCTTTCGTATGCTTCTTCAATCATGAGCCACCGCTATGGAATTTAGCAGGCCGACGTTCGTCGCATGATCTCCAGACGCGTCAAGCTCCGCGACAGCTCAGCAGCCACTACGCCAAATAACATCAGAAACATCGCACATAACTTTTGATCTTCCTCCGCCATCCCCATCTCAATATTCCTCGCACAAATACCGTCGCCAAGCCCTGTGTTTATCGCTTTCCAATGCCTTGACGCGTTCCGCCGCAGGCTCTAGCACACGCGCATCTTCTTCGCAGGTGCGCCCTCGTCGACTTCTGCGCCCATGGTCTCCTTCCGCTTTGACTCATTGCGATTGACCGATGCTTCATCGCTATCATCCGTCGCAAACACCTCGCCTTCTTCGTCCGAGCCATTTGGGGCACCGTTACCGTCTTCCGGGGTGGATGCACCGTCTTCTTCAGCGGTCGTCGTATGCTTTGCGAAGGTTTTCAGCACGCGAACGAGTGACATAAGGCCATCATCCCGACCCTTGTTCTCGAATGTCTTGTACTCTGTTGCATAGCCACAATACAGGAGAACGAACTTCAGGAGCGCCTTGATATTGAGGGAGAACGGCGAGATCATGCCACTGTCGTTCAGCCTGCTGAATACTCCGTCGCCCTTGATGACCCTTGCGTTCTTGACGTATGTGTTACGAGAAGAGTCTGTGGTCGTTGAATAATAAAGGCCCATCTGCTTCCTGATAGCGTTGTTCTCTCGTACTGTGTTGTTATATCTGGTAGAGGGTTGGTCACGCTCGTCAAGCCAAAGTAAGTCTCCGATCTTCTTAGACTTCTTCTTCACGGCAAAGCCGACCTTGAGCGCGTATTGACCGGGACGGTACTCTCGAACCTCGAACGCCTCAGGAGCTGGGAAAGTGGCCAGCGCATCCGGGCAAGACTGCTGGAGCGATGCGAGCACCTGCTCTTTAGTGAGAACTTTTGAGCCCTCCTTTACGTCGTAACTTGGCTCCCGCGCTTCTAATTGTCGAGGCTCGTCGAATCCCAGTTCAAACATGTATAGATGGCTCATCGTTCGGTTGGTGACTGCCCAGCTAGCTTTGGTTGTTGGTATGCAGGACAGATGTGCGTGGTCTAATATAGGGAAGATGGGCTCCGATGGTATGAGTACGCTCTAGATGTCGAGGTGATGGTGAGTATCGGATCTTACCGAGATTGCGTCCCTCCACGTGGCAGTGAAGGCGGACTGCAATGGCGAGCGATCGCTCTCGTTCTATAGCAAGTAAAGTTGCCTTCACCTCGACAACAGAATTATACTACCGATATCAAAGCTGCAGCTACTATACTTCGTCGCCGCAGTCGATCGTCCGAATTACCGGTTTCGCAACTTTCCGTACAGCATCCTTGACAGAGCTACCGACTGCGTCCCAGTGCTCGCCGAGCCAAGTCAGGTACAAGTCAAGGTCCGTGTGGTGCAGTCCAGGAACCTCATGCAACAGCTTTCGGACAAAGTCACGAAGGTCGCCACCTTCACTACTACCAAACAACGCTGCGTGGGCAGCCTGATACATCGCAGACTTGGACGTATACTTGCCGTCACCATCTACTCCAGTAGCCTTGATCATTGCATCGGCGTAGATCTCACGGTACATTTGTAGCGACAAAGGTGAGTGTGGCGCATCGAGAACTTCGTACCCTGGCATCCAGTCTAATGTCAAGAATTTTGGAAGGGAAGAATAGCCCAGGCAGCGTGGGGCGGTGGAAGCGCGCTCCCAGTCGATGATACCGGTCACTTCGCCGGTGTCGGGATCGCAGAAGACGTTTTGGAGGTTGAGGTCGTCGTGACGAAGGACGAAGGTCTCCTCGCTCTCTCCGGGTTTGACCGATTTCGCGAAAGCGTCGCTTCGGAACATTGCATCCAGGATTCCATGGATGACGCCGGGCCTTCCTTTACGTCCCTCGCACGGCCAGGCCTCAAGCAGACCGTTAGTGTAGAGCTCCAGACTTGAGTCGTACACTGGCTTCTCAGTAAGAGCCTTTTCAGTGGCCATGTCTTCTGCTATCAGTTCTGGGTCGATATTGCATTCCCAGAGCGAACCAACGGTAGGCTTTTCGTTTGCGTCAACATTGTCAAAGCACAGCGCGCCGATTTCATCAAACTCAAGATGGCGCAGCTCAGCCATGGCCTGAGCCAGCGAACGAAGCATGCGCGAACGTTTCGACGCCAGTTCAGCGGAAGGAAAGTCGACTGTGTCCTCATCCCAATTGTTGAGGATCGGATGAGCGTCGTGCCAGACTTCAGAGGCGGATCTGCCTGTGCAGGCCTTCATCAAGATATAAGGCGCACCTAGCGTGTTATCCAGCTTGTCGTCATAGGCTACGACCTCAGGGACGGGACACTTGGTACGCTCGCCAATGAACTTGATAGTGCCAAACTCCGAACGCATCATGTATGCATCCTGCTTCTGCCAGCGAGCGGCGGTGCCAACGCAAGGAATCTTAACCACGTATTCACCGTCGTTAGGGCTGTTGGTAACCCGGTATATCCGAACGAAGTTGTAGCCACCCTCATGTTCGCCGCAGAAGATGTAGTCATCTGCGCAGTACTCTACGGAGTTGTTTAGATGCTGCCAAAGGGTCTTCTGGAAGTTCGAATGGTCAAGCGCACGGAGTGGCTCCCAGTCCGCGCGGTCAAGCGCTTCGCTATCAGGGCACGCGCTTGTTAAAGAAGACGTTATCGAGCCGTCCGACTTCGGCGTAGATGACTTATAATCTTCGAAACCGTCGTCAGAGTTTATACCGCTGGGCGAGACAGCACTTTCGCGCTGGATGAGGGCGACGAATGCGGAGTGGTCATTGCCGCAGTCACGCTCAACTACTTTGAGCCAACCTTCTCCATGATCCGTCGTAGTTTCAGGCGCAAGCAAGCGCTGAGGTAGCTCGGGCAGTGTTTCGATAATGGTAAGAATACCAGAGATAACGTTGAGGCTTGGTAGCAAACGTGCGGCTGTTTGTGAAGCAACGACTTCGTGCGACGTATCTGCCCGTTCTAGGACTTCGTTCTTCAGCTGGCGGGCGAATCGAGCTCGGAAATTCTCGTAGGCAATGGATAGCACTGTGGGTATGTTGGTATCCTGCTTGCTGGCACGATCGCGAGATTTGAGATCATTCACGATGTTCGGTGCAGGCGGTGTCTTGCGAAGTTTGGTCCGAGGGCTGTCCTGAGGGCGCTTGGAGCTGAAGCTGGAGGCCAGTCCAGGAAACAACGACGTGAGACTGAATTGCATGTTGACACAGATATTTGGAGTTATTATAGGGTGGAGTGGGCGTGATGTTCGGTCGGCTGACAGTCAAACTACCCGTAGTAAGGTAGTGTTTCGGGGTGGAGAGAATGTATAAGGCTCGAAGAAGAGAGCAACATACACACAGGTCTCACAGATTGGAACTAGCGCCAAAGTGGAGCCCGAGCTTGTCTAGCCCGTGAAATGCGCGGCGTAGTGAATGATGTACATGTTGACAGATGGAAACGAATCACCACGTAGCAAACGCTATACAAGTGTCCTATCTAAGCAAAGGGTTACTTCCAAATGACTGCGACGGTGACTCATCCTCGCATATGCGGTCTTTGATATAAGATGTCTCTCGACATCGAGTGAAGTCATGAAAGAATGTCGAGGCAGTCGCCTCTGTTACCAGAGTCACCACACTTCAAAGAGAATACTAGCTCAAATCACGACAACGCGTGGAATCAATCCAGCGCAATGAAGCGCGCGAGCTACAAGGCAGCAATGTTATACGAAAAAGCCTCGGCGCCGCAAGACCCTCGATCTCTATACACTCTGGCCATACTCACTACCGCCCGATATATACATGCACACGGTTCCCCACCTTGACTTATCCCAAAGATCAACCAAGATGGTAAAGCTCGCAGGCGGATGGATAGACCTGAACGAGAGATACGGAGAGATGTTCAAAGGCGACTTCAACCCCAATATCTGCAATAAGAATACCCTCAAAGTCTTGGGCCTGACACACCATTGCAAAGACTGCAAGGTTGGTACACCCTGTACTATCGTCTGCACCCCTTGTCCACTCTAACTGATCGCTACCCCAGGCGCCCCCGCAGAAGAAGTGCTTCTGGCAACTACATTTCGGTCTGTAAAGCGAAACCAGTCGCCCTAATAGACACTGACGAGTCTACAAGCGTTCTGTGATGAGTGCGGCGAGCGCTTCACGGTCTGGTCCAGGGGATGCGGAAAGCATCCTTACAGCCACGGCTACAATATCGTTTTCAAGGCCGTACGTGATGACTGGCCGGCTTCGGAGATAGAGCGACTGTTGGCGCCAAATGGTACTGTTCAGGTCGAGGACTTCGCGGACCTACTCGACAACGGGGCCCCCTCCCCTAGTCAAGACCCCGAGGATGACGATGTTGCTGAGCTCGCTGGAACGGTCGCAGACGCCGATATCAGTACGAATGGCGAAACCATCGAAGACGCTGCCTCTATGCAAACGACCCCGGTGCTCGGAGCTGACTCCAACGTCGAAGTCCAACAAACCGTCGCGTCGCCTCCCCCCATCCCCACAGACAAGACTTCCAGAACGTCGCCATGGCTTCCCACCGGTCTCAAAGGTAAAGACGCCAAGGGCATGAGACAAGCGCGTGCGGCGACCGGAAGAAAGATACGACGGGACACAGAGGCTGCTGTGCAAGCCGAGATAGCTGCGGATGAACGCGTGAAAGAAGCGCAGAGAGCGAAGAGAGCGGCCGACGTGGCTAAGAAAGCAGAGCAAGAGAAGACGAGGATGGGAAGAACTGGTCATAAGCGGAAGTAGGCGATGCTTGCTGCTTCCGTTCAAGTTATGCATCTACAGTTGGGTTGTGGTTCTAGGTCACGGGCGGTATCGCTGCTCGGCGTTTGATTCGCGCGTATGAGATATGTAGGAGACGACATGAATTGAGATGATGATACGTATGATGCGCACATATTCAGAACCAGCTGTGATGCTACCAGTACAATCAGCCATCTACATCGCATAAGAACACTACAACGCGACTCACAATGCTCCATATCGCATTACCACTCAGCTTCCACCACCCATAACCTTCGTCAAGCTCATGGGCAGGAGATTGCCAAGCCCAAGACCACCCCCCTCCATGCCACGCAGCACCTTGCGCATCGCAGTGCCGCTCTCCCCCTTCGAGCCCGACCCGTATACAAACTCCGCTACCATCCTCAGCTGCATAGGCGCCTTATCATCGCCGTAGTGGCTGATCATCTCAGCCTTTGTGACCTTCTTCCGCACATCGTTCCATTCGCCGCTCTCAGCCCACTTCTCGCACTCTTGCCTGTATTCGGCGTTCCACCACGGAGGTAGCAGACCTCGCCGCGTCTCAGCCAGGTCTAGGAACTTCCGGAATGGCTCGATGCTTGAGGATTTGCCCGTATAGATGCTGTTCGGTGTAGGTTTGTTCTCGAGCTTGTTGTCATCTTCGGATCGCATGCGGAAGGAGTCGATGAGGAGTCTGTAGACATCCTTCTCGGGGCGGTCGTGGAGGTATTTTCCGTCGTCTAATCGTGTAAACGGATTCGGTACGTGCTTCTCGAGGGTCTTCATGCGAGGCGCGGCGTAATTGGAGCTGTGTTCGGTTTTGGGTGGGAAACCATCGTAGGCATTGGCATTGGCTTGCGCTTGCTGGGCGCAGATCTTCTTGTGGTTCTTCCAGTCGTCCTTCTGGCAGTCACGGCTGCAGTACGGTGTCGTCTTGCACTTAGCGCACCGCTGAAGTGTGCCTTTCTCGGTGTCAGCCTCGGCTTTGTTGCATCGGGCGCAGTTGGACGGCATTTCGCTCTCCGTCCTGCTCGTAGTACTGGTTTCTTTGGATCCGAATGGATTTGGGACGAATAGCCAGACGAATACTGCAATGAGTATCCAGACAAGCGTTGAAGGCATGATGAAGTGGACGGCACGTTCGCGAGCTGGATTGATATGTTGGAAGAGGGGGAATTCGGTCCGTGGGGAAGACGCCCACAATGTGAAAGCAAAAACTCGCGATCAACGTCATCGTCCTAAAACACGCTAAGGAATTAAAGTGGGGTCGAAGGTTCCATCCCGCCGCTCCACGTTCCCGCCACGTGCTCACGTGCTCTGACGTACACCCGTTGACGTACTCCCACAGCCACGAGCCTCAGCTCCTTCGAGCAGCATGAAGCTCGCAGCATCTCGAGCTTTCTGATATCTTGCTCTTGGGAATGAGTACTTCGTGATTGATAAGCGGTGTAGAACCCAGAAAAAGCAAATGGAGTATTTGAGGTGGGGTCCATGCGCGACGAGCAGCTCCGAAACACGCATCGTCGGCGTGATCACATGCGCCTTCTCATCGTCAATCCAGACACGCTCCGCCGACGGAGATTGTTCTTCGCGTGACACGACTACCATCTCGATGCATCGCGGTCGTGATATGTCTTCCCTGCATATCGAAGGATGTGCGGGGATAGACGATGGAAGGGCGGATGCGGGGAAGCTACACGCGTCTATCTCCCCACTTACGACCGTAGTTGACGGTCGATAACGATTACAAGAGCGCGACGGCTGAATGTGTGTACATTCAAGGAACGCCTGATTGCCATTCATTCCATATAAATGGCCATCTTTTTCCGCATATATCTGGCGAGATAGCAGAGTTCCATGCTACCCCTTGAAGCACACACACCACCTCCAGCAACAACATCATGCAAAACCCATCAGTAGTACTATACGGGCCGAAGAACGCAAAGATCGAAGATACCGCAGTGCCAGAGGTGGTAGACCCTCACGATGTGATCGTTCGCATTAATTATGTGGGAGTTTGCGGAAGCGATGTAAGACCACCCATCATCACATAACCCCATTCAACAACTAACCAAACACAGGTCCATTTCTGGCACCACGGCGGCATCGGCAAGATGATAAACCCCACTACCGGCATAGTAATGGGCCACGAAGCCTCCGGCGCAATCCACTCCGTCGGCCCATCCGTCAAAAGCGTCAAACCGGGTGATCGCGTAGCGATTGAACCAGGCATACCATGCCGTATCTGTAAAGCGTGTAAATCTGGGGTTTACAACATGTGTCGCGATATCCGTTTTGCTGCGGCGCCAGGGCCGCCTGATACGCAAGGCACGCTGTCGAAGTACTTTCGCAGCGCGGAGGACTTTGTGTATAAGATTCCTGATAGGATGGGGTTGGATGAAGCGGTGCTTGTTGAGCCGCTCGCTGTCGCTGTGCATGCGGTCAGACTGGGTGATGTGAAGCCTGGCGAAACGGTCGTGGTAATGGGGAGTGGGACGATCGGGCTATTCTGCGCGGCGATCGCGCGTCGATTCGGTGCGCATCGCATCATCATTGTCGATATCCTGGAGAAGAAGCTAGAATTTGCAGCCAGCTACTTGAAGTGCGAGACCTTCCGCTCATCGACCGACGCCAGTCCAGAAGAAAACGCCGAAGCGCTGCTCAAGAAGTTCGATCTCGTTGAGTATGGCATCGACACGACTGGCGGTCTTGTCGACACTATCATCGAAGCTTCCGGTGCGACAACAAGTATCGATATGGGCATCAACCTTGTGCGCCCAGGTGGGAAGTATGTCCAGACCGGGCTTGGGAAGCCGAAGATCGAGTTCCCGATTGTGGCTATGGGCCAGAAAGAGCTCATGGTGAGGGGGTGCTTCAGATATGGTGCCGGGGATTACGAGCTTGCGGTAGGGTTTTTGGAGAAGGGATTCATCGACGTGAAGCCGTTGATCAGTTCGGTGACGCCGTTTGAGAAAGCGACTGACGCATGGGAAAAGACGTCGAGAGGAGAGGGTATCAAGAATTTGATTCGAGGGGTGGAGGGCTGATGGTTGATGTGGCTCAAGAGAAGAGGATCTCTTCTCAATCCATCTGCAACACGACTTTAACAACCAAGCGTCTGTCCTTGCTTCATCGAGCGTGCGTTGTCCATCCTCCAAACACGTTTTGCCCACATCTTTAAATACTGCCATGTGTGGTACACGCACTCAGTATCGGGGTCGAAACAGCAACTTACCTTGGGGAAATCTGGGCGACGCTCGATTTCCTTAACGCACCTTTTCAATGACATTCCATCAAGTACAAAGTTTAATGAATCCGCATGGCTCCATCGAAAGCCCACCAGCGGTGGTGCGGCCAGATCTACCACGTTTGCGTGTCCATCAATCCATAGTTCCGGGCAAGCCTCTCGGGCATCTCTCTCCCAGTCTCTTGGATAAATTTGTTCGAGAATGTCCGTGAGATAGAGGAACAAGCTCATCTTGAGTCTCCCATATGTAGTGGAGTGGGTCTCGTGGTGTACATTGTCGCCTCCAGTGTGCTGAAGCTCGACAGCAACACAAACCTCGTCCACCTCGATACTGTCGGAAGTGTCTCGGATCAAACGGAACAGCCCGTTCATGTTGATGCGAACATCTGCGGGGTTAGTGGGGCGGGTGAGTGCCACTTGGACTAAGATCGTTGGTACTGCGGATTCTGATAACAGGCTTTGATAGACGATCTGTCCCATCAGACGATTCCGATGCCCGCCGTCGCGGACACCCATCCCAGCGTCATATCTTCTCAACAATTCCGCGTCGCTGTAGTCATTGATTCTCTCTTGAGCCACAAGCTCTATGACCACTGGCATGTATCGACCAACAGCTTGAACCAAAGATCCCCGGAATGCGACGGAAACATCGAAAACATTCCGATCGAAATTGGGTTTCCTGGCGGAGTTGATGGGAAGCCGAAGACGATCTTCCGTGGTGATTGCATAAGCACAGATCATGCCTTGCACTTCATTAGGAAGCTGCGTAAGTGAACTGACTGGCCTCGCGGCGTGCCATCTTACAACGCCAGAAGCTGGGTAAACAGCAAAAGAACGGCGAACCCTTCGTGATCCTGTGTAATACTCGACCTGACCGTGTTTGCTGAGACGGCGCATCGTGACGGACGAGAGAAGCAGTTCCGAGTTCGAAAGGCGTCGAAGATTCAACGTTTCATCTTTGGCAAGAGCCGCGAACGCCTCGTTCAATCGGGCAGTGCCTGCTACGATATCCGCAAGACTCGAGCTACTGGAATACATGCCTCCGGAACAATTGAATGGGGCCCCAGAGTGGACGAAGGTAATGCTACAGCGTGGTAGGTCTCCATTCCAAACTTTCTTTAGTAACGGCAGTAAATTTTGGTTTATGACGACCTTGCCACATCCCCAACTGCAGACAGTCGTGATGTCGATGACTACCTTTTTTACCAACCTCATCTGAGAGCCAAGTGAGGCGAGCCATACCGGCGCATAATTGATCTGGTAGTAGTCATCCCAATTGCTGGCTTGACACCCCCTGATTGCTTCGCGGTCACACCTGGTGCCAACTCTGGTAACGACGAAGGTATTGTTGGCGTACAAGATGCCAACCGTTTCGTGATATATCTGGCGACAAGACTTCAGCAAGCCGAGCCCAAGTGAAGCTTCATGCCTGAACTTCTGCGCTTCTTCCCGTCCATGGTTTTGCCTTTTCTGCCAACTTTTCAGTCTGCGCGGAACACGCCTGCACATCCGATAGCGGTCCACCCATTCATCTTCTGAGCTGTCACCGGGGAAAGACTCATCATCTGCACGAATCTCATAAGGCCGTCGGTCGTAGTAGAAGTTGGAGTTATGGATGAGTATTCCAGGTCGTCGTGGAAGCACAAACACGTATTCGTTGATGGTGTTGCGTACCTCCGCCGGCAACGTCAGGAAGGATGGCGCGGACGGATCCAGAGGAGCTGAACAGCCTTTTGGGATTTCCATGGCAGTGTATGGAAAGATGTGTGCGAAACGGTGTTAACGAGGAAAATGGGTGTTGCGAGGCAAGACAGAGCTGATGGCGGTCTGGAGACAAATGGAAGGGGCGGCACAGTATCCGAGCTAGGCTGTTATGGGTTAGCAGGGCAACGCGAAACTCACGCGTGCAAACTTCCAGCGATGGCTCATGATGCTGCTAATGTCATTCATGCTATCCCGTGTCCGTACCTAGCTATCACCGCATTCTCCGCCAGTTCCTGCAGACCATCTCAGCACCATTATCACGACGAGGTTATCGCGCTTCTCCGATGGCGCGTCCAGAACTCCTGATGTCACCCGCATTCTCCGCGGAGCATGGCCCCACTCACAATCCCTCAACGCCTCATCTTCTTTAGCGCATCATCAAGACTGCCCCATCCGACCTCCACACACCGCCTCAAATCATCCCAAGCATGTATCAAGCACTCGTCGCGCCTATTTACCGGACATGCAAAGTCCATCAGTTCTGCGCGCCGCCGAATGACATCAGCCACCGAAGCAAGTTTCAACTTCTGGCCTCCCGAAAAGCCAAGGACAGCATTGCTGCTCACGTCGGACTTCCATTTGGTTGCTCTTGTGCAACGAAACTCATGTGGTTTCTCAATGCATTTGAGGATGGCGCCGAAGCCGTTGATGCGTATGTTGGGTGTGTAATGTTGGCGCTCACGAGCATAGATGCTGTCTCGGAGGAGGTCGGTGAAGAAGAGGAAGACGGCTTGTCTTAGCTTCTTTATTGGCACTTCAGAACATGCTCTCTGGTGTCCTTCGTTGTCCTTTATAATGATCTTGATGGTCGACCACATGTTGGCTCTGAGTATGGACATGCTGCTCAAGAAGCGCACGAGACCTCTCATGTTGATCTTAACATCCTCGAGACCTTTGTCGTCATCCAGGATGAAGTTGAGATTGATGCTCTGGCCGCTTGTGAGCCCAAATTCGCCCCTGGCGATAAAGCTGATAGTTGTGTTGTCGATGGCCTCCGGCCAGAGCAGGGTCTCGAGTGCGCTAAATCTCTCGAAACTTGTCTCGACTTCCTGACTGGTCATTGAGAGGGTCAACGAATACCCTGGTCGGATGAGAGACTTTACCGAACAGGGAACCATCCTGAGAAGGGTGAGATCAAGTCCGTGTGTAACCTGCGCAGTCAGATCCACGACGATGCCTTCGGGCCCAAGTGCTACATATCGAGCGATGATCTGTCGGATCGATCTAGGCAGGTCTGCGCGGGATTTTATCGGCTTCTTTGGGTTCCAGAAGACTTCTGCTCCTTTACTCAGAACAGTGAAGAACCTCAGCCCCGAGCGTTTGTACTTGACGAAGTGCCATTCAGTTCGCGATCTTCCCACTTGTTTAAATTCAATCACGACACTCTTTAACGATCGCGAAACATGCCTTAGTCCAAGCATATCTTCTTTCCCGAGAGTATGTAAAAGAGTGTTGAGATCTTCGGGGACCGCTGTAGGGTCACTTGCACCATGAATATGGGCAGAAAGCGCTCTTCCTGTAGACTCAAAGACTATCTCGCATTTGGCTTCCGGATGCGCCCACATGATGCGAAGGAGGGGGAGGACATCGAAATCGGCCGCCCACCGGCAATGGGATGGACACATGGCATCCGTGTCGATGACCACCTTGCGCAGGAAGCGGTAGTGACCTCCAATAGAATCCATCCATCGAGCAGAGTAGTTCAGTTGGTTGTATCTTTCGTTCGTGTAAAACATTGGTTCATACCATGCACGATATTCGTTTGTAAGATAGCTGATATCGTGTCTGTCGGTGCGTCGAGTGAAAGCGAACGTGTTGTGCCCGTAGAGCACTCCAACTGCCTCAGAACAAATCTGGCGACAAGATCTGAGTATGCTGAGTCCATCCGAAAGGCCGTCGGCAAATTCTGCTTTCAAAACTTGCAAATCCTTCGCCTCGTTGTCCATAGCTGCTGCCCATGCTTGACGGTCGCGTTCGTAATGGGAGATGCCTTCATATCGGCAGGTTTCGCACCGACAGGATCTCAGCTTGTCATCGTCGTAGTCGTCTAGGTCCGGTGCTCGTGGAAAGAAGGCGTCAGCGTTATGTAAGATGACGGGACCATCATTCTTGAAAAGCAGCTCGTAAACGGCGTTTCGTATCTCGGCAGGCAGCTCCAAGAAGGAAGGTTTGGACGGGTCGGCAGGTTGGGAAGTGACTTGTATAGGCTCCACGATTGTCGCACCGTGCGACACAAGGTTGGCCATCGCGCGCGTCGACAAAATCTTTGAAACTGATTGCTGAGTTTTGAATAGTTGGTTAAACTGGAGTTCGAGCAGGTCGCGACAGAATTTAAAAATGCGCAGTCATGGGTTGGGCGTCGCTACCGCCCTTGGATGTGGATACGAACATCTGAACACCATCATTCTGCGCACTAATGCGGAGGTGTCTTTTCAATTAAATGCACGCTATAGAATAAGACGCACGTTGAGGCAGAGGCTACAATCCTATTTTGTAAAGGGTATGATCCAGCAATGACATGTACTCGAGTAGAGTCTGCTGTGTTTTCACCCACGAGTCTGTGAAGAGTGGCGTCTTCGTACACATCCCATCTCAACTGATAGCCACCGATTCATCACTACCCATGTCCTTCTCCTCAAGCTAATCTGGTGCCTCCCCTTTCCAGATCACGCCAACCTGAGAAAAACATCAACAGGTCTACAGTCTACATTAACCTGAGAGCATGCAAAGCAGGTGTCATGACGTCGACGTAGGCTCCAACCCTGTTCCCTGTTCTGGCTTTCCCTAGATCGACATGAGATGACTAGTCCAGTATCCCTTCCGCGTATCGTTCAATCGCGTAGGCGGAATCCATTCCAGCAGGCTTCATCACCACGTCAGCAAACTGATACAAGATGGCCTCATGGAAGTTTGGTCGTGTCTTCGCAGCAGTGATACCACCTCCAGTTCCCCTAGCGCTTTTGAAGTACCTGCGCGTGCAGAAGTGATCCAGAAAGGTCTGTAGATAGTACTTGACGTTTGAGGCTCCCTCCCAAGTACAACTATGGAGACAGAATGGTCTAAGTTCTGTCACAGGCAGGGAATCACTCTGAACGCGAGGTACTGCATGCTTTTGGAAAAGAAGAGCCCAGTGTAGCATGTCTAGCTTTGGGAGCTTGTATAGGCCTTGGGCGATGGAGCGCCATGATCCGTCCGTTAGCGTTACGAATGTGGAGTCGAATTCCTTCAACGTGGCTGAGTGTTGCTTCATGAAACGTCGAAGTCGACCCCCACTAATGTAGATTGCGTGGAGACTCAGCCTGGTGATGTTGGAGTAATGTGTAGTAGCAACATGCCTAGAAAACACTGCATGGCAGCCGTCGCAGAATCTCAAGCGAGGATGGGTCTCGCACCCGTCCAGACGTAGGGTCTCGATCTGACTGTGATTTGCGATAAGTCGGGACAAATTCGTGTGATCAGGCTGATAGCCCTTCAAATGATATCCATATTCGTTCCACTTTTTGGCGTCCTGTATTATCTGCTTGATTTCGGGACGTTGAAACACGTAATGTAAGGTCGGGGTGCTAATATTGATACCCTTGGTGTATGGTGAGGAATCCGCAGGATTGACCATCAGAGTACGATGATCAGCGTTACTTAGATTTTCAGGCGGTACTGTGAAGACTACTTTCTTCCTTGCAAAGCCGCTCCTCGCTGAAGCGGCATGTATGAGACGCTGCAAGTTCGTACCCCGTAGTGGAATCTCCTCCAAAGAAGTCGCTTGCTTCAAGTTCCGGAAGCATGCTGCTAGCAGTTCAACCGCTTCAGGGGCTTCTAAGTATGTCGAAATCTCTTCGCGGCGCATTTCACGGGTCGGAGACAATCCCCATGGAATATCTGAGTCGTCCGCTATGCTTGTCACCCTAGGATAATAGAACAGCACTTGTTTGATGCGGTCGCGAAAGACTGGTATTTGGGTTATGTGCAATAGCTGGCAGAGTCCCTTGTAGTCGACGAATATCTCGAGCTCCTCTAGCAAATGTCCGTACCTGACTACAGCGTCGAAAGTAGTCTTCGCGTGGAGGTTTCGGCAGGTGAGGCGGAGCGACTGCAGGTCATCGTTGTTGTAGTATAAGGAGCCATCTACATCACGCTTCAGGCCTAGGTGTCGACATATTTTGCTGATGATCTCCGTAGGTAGGGATATCAGAGACATTCCGAGCCTATCGAGTGGAATAAGGTTGAGGCCTACGTTGGTCCGAAAAGGCGCGAAGCTCGAGCGTTGTCGCTGATGTAGGCGTCTAGCGGTGAGATGGAGGCGCGACGCTTGAGTGTGGCGATTGATGTAGACTCTTGGGTGCGCAAGCGGGGGCTTCGTTCAATCGCTTGAAGGTTATCGTGAAGTGATAGTGGAGGTTTATGGCGTATAGGCGAGCCGCTCGGGCTGTGTCGCTGATGCGCAAAGCTGACTGCGCGGGCGATAGAGTAGAGCGGTGGATGGAGAGACATTGCAAAACGAGCGAGGAGCGCAATATGTAGCCCTGGAGAAGGAGCGAAGGTAAATGGCGCTAGTCTACTTACAGTAGGGCGCATAGGGAGCAAACACTGCACAAACTGCACGCGCTTTCACTGAATATCGTCATCGTTTTGAACGCCCCCAGGAGGCCAGCTGCTGTTATAATGTGATAAAACTACACGCGAAAACCCATATTAGACCCTCAAGATGGTCGCTAAGTTCTAATCCTGTAAGAGGCCTGGTCCAGCAATCATGTGTCCCCTAGTAGTACATCCTGTACGCCTGCATGTCACTCCAGTCAGAACTAAGGTCCAACACCTCTTCCGCATACCGTTTCTCAACGGATGCAGCTTCCATATATCCGTTACTCGCCACAACATTCGGAAAGTCATACATGTACACTTGATAGTAGCTAGCCCGAGTCTTGCGCGACGGTTGTGTCCCGGTATAACCATCGAAATATCGCTTGCGGTCGAAGTCCGCCGTCCAGAAGTGCTGCAGGAACATCTGCAGAAAGAGCTTGATGTTCGAATTACCGTGATATACGAGCTCGATATACCAGCTTTGATCTGAGAAAGATGGAATCTTGGACTTGACGACTTCGTGTCTTTGGTAGAGAGATTCGAGGTAGAGCGTCTCGAGTTGCGGTAGTTTGAGCAAGCCCTGGGCTAGAGATTGCCATGAGCCATCCGTCAGAGAAACACATGAGAAGCGGACTTCCTTCAGGGTTTTGGTGTGCTGCTTGACAAAGCCGCGAAGTCGGCCTCCACTCACGTAAGCCCTTTTCATAGAGAGATAGGTCAGGTGAGGAAAGTTCGCGGTCTCAATATGCTTGAACACCGCGTCGCATCCGTCGCAGAGCCTTAACATGGGCAATTCATCGCATCCAACTATTTCGAGATGGGTGATCTCGCTATACGCTGCAATAAATCTGGAGAACTCCCGATAGCTTGGCTGATATCCTTTGAAGTGGTAGCCTTGGTTGCCGACCTGTCTTTTCTTCTGCTTTACCAGCTTCCTATCGAGTGACATGCAACCTGCACTCTCGAAAGCCGAGTCAGGCGCTTTGATGCTCAGACCTTTGGTATACGGCGCGCATTCCCCCGGGGAAGTTGTGACACTGCGATAGCCTGATCCGACGACAGGCTGCGCTAGTACCTCGAAGATTGCGATCTCTCGCGGAAACTCACTTGCTGCTAGAGCGGCGGGAACGAGACCGTACAAGTTGCGCCCGTGGACGGTAATCTCTGATAGCGCAGGAGCGTCTTTCAAGTTCCGAAAGCATTGCGCGAGAAGGTGTACCGTCTCGCTAGCCTCCAAAGAAGTGCTTATGTCGTCGACGATCTGTCCTCGAAACGCGGCTTTAGCCTGAGGCGTGGATGAATGGCGTCAGTAAGTGTGTCATATGTAGCCGGTGCGCGGAGATCACTCACCCATTTAGCCTTCAAGTAGTCTGGCAAAGCTGGCTCGTTTTCATAAGGAGACTCAAGTGTTAATGTTCGAATCCGTTTGGAGAAGTCGGGGATCTTGGTGATGTGAAGAAGGGCGCAGAGCCCCTTGTGACTGGCTTCGATATCTAGCAGCTCAAGAAGTAGCCCGTATCTCACCGACGCGTCGTACATGGTTTTCGAGTACAACTCTCGACAACTTATACGAAGGGGTAGGAAATCATCAGTGTTGCAATAATGAGTGAAGCCGCCGCGTTCATCCTGAATCATTCCAAGATGACGGCAGATTCTGCTGATGATCTCGGCGGGTAGTGATGATAACGACATCGTGCGCTATCTGGTCGGTATACTTCGAGGACTCGTGAGCGACTGCTACCGAGCGTGTAGGATGGTCGATCGAGAGGTCGAGCAGAGTAGATCGAGGCGTAGATGTGAGCGCCCTAGGACTCTGTTCTAAGTTTGTAGGCTTATGTAGGCACGAGTATCGATTGGGCGCTAGGCTCCAGGTACTGCCGTGTGCGGCCATCATTCACTATTCCTTGGCGCCGCTCGCGTCACGCAATGAACGAAACGATCCTTTCGATGCCTGTGTACCAGACAACCTTCTAGTGTATTGATTTAGTGCCAGTAAACTACCCCTCCGGAGGGTACACAACAATACGATCGATATCCGCACCCTTAACATCTTGACCATTATCCAGCCCACCAATAGTAATAGTGTTATGACTACCCTCCTCCAGATTCAGCATCAGCGGTGTGCTCAAGATAATACCCTTGTGCGTATCTCTCTGGTACAGCGACTCAACCTCTTCCGTCTTGTTATTCACAATAACGCTCGAGATGCGGCGAAGCTGCCAAGTCCCATTGATACGATCGGGTGAACCTCCAGGCTGGTCGCCGAAGCCCATGTCGTCGGTGTTCTGGTAATAGAATGAGACCCACTGGGGCTTTCCGGTGCCTTCGATGTTGGAGAAGGTGACTTTGCTGTCGTTGCCGTAGATGCCGGTGACGATGACGCCGTCGCTGCCGAAGGTGGCTTCTTGGTGGTAGGCGTCGCCGGTGGTGGTGGCGTCTTTGCCGTAGTAGGTAGTGCCGTTGATAGCTGTGACTTCTCCGGTTTTCACGTCGAGGTCGTAGACATCGTACCATTTCAGTTCAACTGACTTCTTCTCTTCGTCAATCTCAAGCGGTAGCCAGATGTATCTGCTTTCCCACAGACTGATAGAGTCCCATTGATCGCCCATGTACAGGTAGGTAGTCTTCTTGGTACCGTTGATTCGAAGGTTCAATCCAGATTGCGAGTTGAAGGTACGTGTGTTGAGCGGTGCGATGATGAATGGTTGAGACCAAGGACCAGCAAGGGAGTCGGCGCGGAAAGCAACCACGTCTGGAAGTGGTCAGCTTATGATGTACACATCCGATCAGTGAAGATGCTTACTGTTTGGGCGGTAACCCGTCTTATGCGACATCAACGCGAAGTAGCTCTTGTCGGTCTGCACGATGGTCGGTGCTTCGAGGTCGTACTTGTCGAAACGATGAACGACTTCATCTAGAGCAGTGATGTTCTCATTGAAGGAAGTGAGGTATACGTCGCGTCCTTCCCTACGGTCGCCGTTGGAGTATAGCGAGTACGCTCGACCGTCTTTCTGGTCTACGAATAGACCAAAGTCTTGTGACCAGTTTCCAAGTGGCGCTGTAGCATCGACGAAGCTGTAGGGGCCGGTGATGTTGTCCGAGACCGCAAGACCTTGCAGAAGCTCTCCGTAGGTGGAGTTGTCGGCGTGCCACCACATCTATTAATGTTAGCAAAGCTATCGTGGTTGCTGAAGACGAGTGCTTACATGGTATTGACCGGTACCCTCGCTATATACAACCTTCGGCCGTTGAATGATGTCCTCGGGGGAGATGTAAGGATGGCCCTCGATAGGCTCTAGGGCCAGACCGTGAGGCTCCCATGTTGCAAGGTCGTCGGAGCTGTACACGCTGACACCACCACCCTCTTCCTGTCCCTCGATCTTGTACTCGCCGAACCAGAAGTACTTGCCCGTCTCTTGATCCACAGTAATACCACCAGCGTGCGCATTCACAAGAGTGTCATCAGTAGCTCTCCAACGCGCTCCAGGAACAATCCATTTGGCGGAGGCAGTTGCCGCAGCTAGCAACAGCTGGCACGAAAGCGTGTTGAAACCCATTGTGTAATGATGCGATGGCGGACTGGGGTGACGAACAATTTTTGGTACATGGCTGTAGACCTCATATAGCCGGTTGCAGAAGCATGGATGTTTACCAGCCAAGCGGCTCCGGATTCTTTTCACCCGAGCTTTCAGGAACCTAAGCCCTGGATATCATCTTGCGGGGCTCCGCACCTCATCGCGGAAGTGATCGTCGTATTTCTCCAGGTTTTGGGATGGCCCGCTACCGCGATTTGGCTTGGTGAACTCGGATGTCGGAAAAACCAAGACTTTGACCTGGCTGCCAACGATGAGGGGACGCCGCAGTAGCCATACTTTACGGGAACGCTACTTGATCGAGCTTTGAATCCGCATGTACACAGGTCGTCAGGCTTCGGAGACATGGGCCAAGGGCTGGTGTTGAGGCATTTCGAGAATAAGGATGGCAGCTTCGGGGTAGCTTGAAGATGGAGCTCGCTTCCGGAAGCTGCTGACGTCATCATCACGGGAAGCCACCTGCCATGCCGCCCTCAGCTACCTGACGTGCCTGAGTAATCTGCTCATCAGCTGTCAACATCTACATGCGACCTCGGGATGGTCATACTTGTCCCAATACTCAGACATATTTTTAACGTTGTTGTCTACATTGCCTCTGCTAACCGCTGTAGAGTCCTGTTTTCTAAAAACCTTCAAAGCCACTATACGGCGAAAGGAAAAATCTTTGATATGGAGACATGGCACAATCGTCGTCACAAAGTTCTTAGTACCGGCTGATGACAGTGGAACAGAGATCTTGGAAGTGTACCTCCATTGCGGCCATACATCTTGTTACTCGACTGTGTCGTGCCTGCATTCCAGGACCAGCACGTAATGGCAACGGCGTCTTCACACTGCCTCAGCTCTCTAAGCACGAAAAGATCTTATAAAAACACTACGCAGTTACTCGATGTCACCATAGCCCCGTATTCGAACAACCAGCAATGCCCTCCGCGCACTATACTAAGTACATTCGATGTGATTGCAGCAGCTCAATGCCTAGGGGAACTGTCGCGTTGCCAGTTTGATCGTCATTTGACGATATAACAAGATTAGAGAAAAGGAATTCAGATTCGTAATGTACTACGTTACTCAGCGGAAAAGATTGTATTAGCAGCTACGCGATACTACTTTGCTGGGTTCTACACAACGCGATAGCCTCGTACAAGACTGCATCTATTTCTTCGGCTGACATGACATTCAGAGGAACAAGAACCGATCTATGCAACCTCCGAATATCGGAAACAGAAACATGCGCAAACGCCTGTGATTACTAACCCCCCACTCGCAACACCACTGACACACATCAACTCACTCAGGTGGCCACAACCGCATACAGATACCAATATCATTGACCACATCCTCATCGCAGCATACAAAGCTATGTACAATCTCAAAGTGAATGTGAATATATACATGATCCTGAGTTCACATCCCCCAGCACCTTGTTCCCTCAGTCGGACGTGAGACGCATCAGTCGCTCGAGGTCACGGTTGTAGCTACCACCAGCCTCCACCACACCGCTCACCTAACAGCTCGGAAGCGCTGAAAGCTTACCCTGAGCACCAGTGCAAGCACTCGTCGAGCTAACCTTGCTACTACTCCCATTGCCCTTGTTAACACCCTTGTACTCCTGGCACACCTTCTTTGTCGTTCCGCAAGATCCGCTAATGGAGGCTGTGTCACCGAAGTTGCTGTTAATACCAATGAGATCAGACGTAAGCCCGAAAGCCCTGACGTTCTCGACGATGACCTTGCGGGGCGACTTTTTGGAGTTGTCGGTGCAGTCGCCGCAGGAGCGGTAGAGCTTGCCGGCGTTGACGATGGTGTAGTTTTTGATGGTTACGGTGCCGGCGCCGCTGAAGGGGAGGTGTTAGTATGTGTTTGGGTTTGGGTTTGGGTTTGGGGGTTTGTGGTTGAGATGGGGAGGGATGGATGGGGGAAGGGGAGACGTACTTGTGCTGAATAACTTTATCGCTGGCTTGAGCGGCGCCTCCGCCTTGGATGAGGGCGTTGCCGCTGCCGAGGATGGAGATGGCGTCTTCGCAGACGTCGCGGAACCAGACGTTTGTCAGGGTGCAGGAGCCTTCATACATCACATCAGTACCTTTCTTGCAGGGTCGCGAAATGAATGTCGAACATACCCAAGCAGTGCACGCCCTCGAGCGCATTTGCGCCAATAATGACGTTGGAGATGGACGCGCCGTTCTGCAGGATGAAGACGGCGCTGTCACTGCCAGTGTCCTCGTCTGAGTTGCAAGGCCGACCGCGGTCGAACTCCTTGTTACCGAAGTTGACGCTGCCGGTGATGGTGCTGGGCTGGGGGAGCGACACGATGCTGCCGGAGCGAGTGGGGATGTTGAGAGTCTGCGCAGCTGCCATGCTGGCGACGAGGGAGAGGAGTGCGACTTGGGACAACATGATGGTAAGAAGTTTGTGCGTAAGTTGGAGGATGAAGTGGAGGACCTGCTAAGTTTGCAGATGGGCTGGATACTCGGAGAAGAGATGAGTGAGCTGCTGGTCTACCACTCGGAATCCCCATTGCCTTTATACACATCCTCGATACCCACCTCTCCTCGATACCTGCATCGCCAACCAGATCTAGACACCGATGTAGCCCTCTACGGACGTCGTGAAATTGCTACGGGGTGGATGAGACCCTGGATTGTGGATCTCGTCCAGCAAGCCAAGACACTGTAGTATTTGTGGAGAATGGTGGAGAATTGTCTTCCGCCGTGGTAAGTCATGCTTGGCTAGGGGCTGAGGTTGCTGTTACCCTTACCGGTGGTTAGAATGGTCATGCCCACCACCACAAACCTCACTATTTCGATCTACACTGCATAACAGCAATACGCCCTGGACCTTTTCGTGATTCGCGGGATTTCTCGTTGACATGTTTTTCCGTACGCCATGAGTCGAGAATGTGCAGTTGTGTGATGGAGAACAGTATCTATGACACAGGTGACGGTGTTTTGGCGTTGCTGTATATTGGGGAAGACCTGGGGTACATTAGTGCAGCGCCATATGTCGGTAGAGAATTTTCCGCGGTGTTTGGAAGGATTCCTGGGCGGAGGGTTGGTGATGACTTGGCGTTTCAGTTGGGAGATGGGCTATGGTTCTTGTGGAATACCACCTCTGGAGTCGGTCTTTGGGTGGGTGGTATGCGATCAGATTTCTTACGAAATGTTCCGTTTCGTTTTGAGAACAGATCGCCACGGCGAAGATGTGTTGTTGGTTGGTCGTGCCTTTACGTCGTAAAACAGTCAACGCATTCTCACCGCTCACATATCTTCGTTCGCTGGACTCAAGGTTTTGTCGAAGAGTACAAGGCCTAGGCTTACATATGGGTACCTCTGGATCCATACTTCCGATCTTGCATATCTTTATGGTGATGGTCCGTTTCCGCGACTCCCGCGAGGAACCACGATCAAGTTGCTAACCGATGATTGGCAGTCGTCCATCGGTGAACGGCTCCTATCAGCGGAAGCACCCATCCACGAGCACTAGAACGTCTGAGATGGGGCGGCTGGCAGTAAGTACCCGATCCGACGGCATTTGAGGATGGGCATCATCGCCGACGATGCCCAGGTGTGCTGTTCCATGGGCACAATCCATATTGTAGACTTTCCGCTCCGTACTTCCACCAACCGGCGCCATTGGAAGGACAGATCCATATTGCATAAGCCTGGACAGGCAATGCAAGTGCGGAACATTTCCTAGAATGTGTTTCAAGATCGAATGCGGCAAACACGTGGAGATCATGACGCCTGGACAATGTGAGGGCCGCGATACTTTCTGCACTGGTAAATGACGTGTAATAAGTGTCTTGTCGTTCTAGATAGATTAGTGCCACGACGAAAAGTGAATTTGATCAATAATCACCAAAGGTGTCGATGTTTGAGAGAAACAGCATGCAGATGTCCATCCGGACTAGCAGATGAGTAAAGTGGGCCGAAGTCTTGGCAAACGAGGCCCACCGAAAAGTCTCGAGCAACTCAACACCTCTACACAACCAACGCGCCACACTACCCACCGCCCAAAATGTCGTCCATGCGAAATGCCGTTCAACGGCGCAACCACAAGGAGCGCGCGCAACCCGAAGAGCGCGCAAAATGGGGTCTCCTGGAGAAACGCAAGGACTACAAGCTGCGCGCGCACGACCACAAGCAGAAGCAGGCCAAACTCAAGATCTTGAAGCAGAAGGCTCAGGATCGCAATCCCGATGAATTCTCCTTCAAGATGATGTCGTCCAAGGTGGACAAGTCGGGGAAGAGGGTGGCGGACCGAGGCAACAAGGCGCTGAGCATGGAGGTGGTCAAGCTGTTGAAGACACAGGACGCGGGATACATTCGCACTATGTTACAGCAGACGCGAAAAGAGAGGGAGGAGGTAGAGCAGAGGCTGATAATGGAGGAGCAAGGCGAGGTGCGTGCTGTGAGGGATGCGGCGAGGACCAAGCAGGGCAAGCACAGAGTCTTTGTGGACAACGAGGAAGAACAAGAGGAGTTTGAACCAGACACTTGGTTCGGGCGCGGCGAGGACATTCCTGCGCGCAAAGAATCACCCACTTTCGGAGACTTACAAGACGAGCTATCGGACGACGACGACGAGGCACCCATCCAGCGGCCGAACACATTATCGAAGAAGAAGATAGAGGCACAAGAACAAGCACGGAGAGAAGCTCGAAAGTTCCGCAAGGAAAGAGAGCGAGCACAAGAGCGCCACGTAACAAGACTACGCGCACTCAAGAAGCGGGAGAGCGAACTTATGGCCGCTGAAGAGGAACTCGAACTCCAGCGCGCGAAGATGAACAACACCGTCGGCGGAGTGAACAAGAACGGCGTCAAGTTCAAGATCAGGGAGCGCAAGCGCTGAGCCCATATTAAATCAAATACCCAAATAAATACAACTACAGCCTCGCCGGCATCCTCATCGCGCCATCCAGCCTCAAAACCGTCCCATTCAACATCTCATTCCCCACACACTCCACCACCAACCTCGCAAACTCCTCCGGCAGCCCCGCCCTCTTGGGGAACTCCATACTATTCTCCAGACTCTTCTTCACCTTGTCGCTCATCATGCGCGTCATCGCGCTATCGAACATACTCGGCGCAATCGTCACAGCACGGATACCATACTTTGACAGATCGCGCGCAAGCGGCAGTGTAAGACTCGCAACCGCGCCTTTCGACGCAGCATACGCAACCTGGCCCATCTGCCCATCAAACGCCGCCGAAGACGCAATCATGATAATCACACCGCGCGACCCATCAGGACTCGAAGGCGTGGTCGTAGTCATATGCGGCACCACCTGCCTCACCAAATCCAACGTCCCCCTCAGATTTATGTTGAGCACAAAATCAATACTCTCGATGCTAAGCGGCTCGTTCTTCTTGTCGATGATTAAGCCTGGCATTCCTACTCCTGCTCCTGCTACCACGCCTCCAATGTCTTTTCCTGTTTCTTTCACCCAGGCGACTGTGCCGCGGACTGCGGATGCGATGGCGTCTGTGTCTGTGACATCGGTTTCGAAGAACTTTGCGCGGGAACCGAGTTCGGACACGATTTTGGAGCCGTTGGAGGCGTTGAGGTCCAGCAGCGAGACGTATGCGCCGGAGGAGTGGAGGGCGCGGGCTGTTGCGAGACCGAGGCCTGAGACGCCGCCGCTGATGAGGAAGGTGCGGTCTGCGATCTTCATTGTGGGGGAGGGTGGGGATGTAGATGGATCGGTAGCTAGACAAATGCAATGCTGCAACTCGTAATATCTAGCTGTGCTCGTGTCTACGTGATGTAAAGTAAAGCCGCAACCAAAAGCGCATGTGAAGTCCAAACCACAAACGCCGTTCTTCAAGCTCACATGCCTCGGCTCACCCAGATCGGCCAAACCGCGCCCAGAACCTCCGACATGCCCGCTCCGTATCCTCACCACCGAACTGACTGCATAGACATTCCCCACTCCGAATAACATCAATCTTGCCAATCCAACACAATCTCGAAACTCAGCACCGCCGGGAGTCCGCAAAGACGCCCACCACACAGCGCACCTCTGCCAGATCCGCCCCGTCACTCGCTACACGCCTCCACACCCATCTCGTACACGCACATAACCGCATACACACTACCTCACCCCACCACATACCTCCCAGGCCATTGGGCCGAATAGTTCCCAATAATAGCCCACGATGGCCAACACAGAAGACCGCATGATAATCGGCACGAACCGCACACCCACGAACCCCACGCCTTTATCCGCGCCCCAAGAACAACAAGTCAAGGATTTATATTACAAGAATGTGCGCGCGAAATGCGCGAAGGAGATTGAAACTTTCGCTCAGTGTGCCCTCGGACGCACCTTCACAATGATATACGCGTGCCGCCAACCGCGGCTGGCGATGAATAGTTGCATGTTGCAGTATCAGAATCAGGATGAGTTGGATAAGGCGAGGTTGGAGTGGTTTGCGTTGGCGGAGGAGAGGAGGGCGGTACGTGAACAACTCTTGATTCATCTACTGTCCACTCTTGACCCTCAAGTCTTGGGATGGAAATGCGTGGCTGGAACGCTAAAATGCTAACAATCCCACAGGCGCGGATAGAGCACCAAAGAAAGCTGGAAGATGCGCGGGAAAAACACAAAGAATGGTGGAATCTAGACGAGTCGGGGCGTACGCTGGGGAAGAAAGCGGAAACAGCGGAAACGATAACGGAAGCGGGGTTGAGGAGGAAAGAGGAGAATAGGGTTGATGATAGGGGGGTTACTAGGGGTGGGGTTTATGGGTCGAGATGAGGGGAGTGGGGGTGTTGTGTACGGAGGGTAGGGAATGGAGCGGATGGATGTATATTGTATTATAACGTGTAAATACTCTCTTCCGCAATTTCAGACTCAGCGCAGCCTTTTGCGCAGAAGTAAAAGCTCAAAGTTTTTTGTCCAACTCTGGTATAACCTCGCAGTCCAGTCCATAACGCCCGTTACAAATGCTCAATTCCACCCAAACGCCGTCCCAGTCACACATTTGTGCTGCTCCTGCCCGCTCAATTCAAGCTCTCCGCTCAACCATTACTCTCCTGATTAATCCCCATAGCCTCCTCAAACTCATCATCATCAACCTCCTCATCCTCCTCCATACCCCCCATATCCGTGTCCTTCGCCTCCGTCTCACCTGCCACATTCCCTACCGTCGTCCCATTCACCGTGCCCACCGGCCCCCCAGCAAACCCAACCCCCTCCCCATCAACCTCCATATCCTCATCCCCCCCCTCATCCTCAACACTCTCCTCCCACGCCCCCTTAACCCCCCACCCCACACCCGTAAAGCAATACCGCTCCGGCGGCAACCTAATCCCAAACTCGCGCTCCACCCTTGGCAACGCAATACGATTCCTCTCTTGAGCAACCTCACTCATAAACTCCTTGCCCAAGGACGTGTTAAACGCGCCCGCGGCCCTTGCTCCAACAGCCGTACGCAGCGCATTCAGACTCACGGCGTCTTCACCGCTGCCATCGGCATTAGCGCCCCGTTTCTTGCTAGAGGACGTGGTGGGTAAGGGTGGTTCGTAGCTGATTGCGTCGGAGAGGATGGACGAGGTGTAGCGGTAGGCGAAGTCGAGGAGTTGGAGGGGGACGCGCTCCGTGTAGGCGTGCACGCCCATGTTGGCGAGGATGAGGTGGATGAGGCGCGCGTCGCGGGGGCGTTTGCTGGTTCCCGGGTCGGAGAGGGAGGTTGGTGGGAAGGCGGGGTTCATTGGTGCGGTTGTAGAGACACCGTTGGACTGTTGCGATGGTTGCGCGGTTGGCTGTGAGGGTTGTGGTTGCGACTGCGTGGGTGGGCTGAGTGTGGGTGCGTTGGCGGTTGCGGGGGGCGTTGAGATGCCATTTTGCATGGGCTCTGCGGCGGGTGACGCCATGATGGGTGGTGTGGTGGGTGCGCGTGATGTTGGTAGGTGAGTGAGGTCGAGGCGCGTTGGTGAAGTTGCGACAGACGACGCGAAGGCTTGGCAGCTGCATGCGGCTCAAGTGGAATCTGGGGAAATCTCACTAGCGAACTACAAGTGAAGGTGGATTAGATAGAATGGACACACATGCGAACCACGAGTATGAGTTAAAGTGACGAGAAAACAATACGTTTTGCTAATTACTACAACATGCACAATGCAATACTACACAACCCCAAGTCCAACCACATCCTCCTCATCCCCCGTCGCCTCACTAGCAACACTCTCATGCAAACTCGGCGTCTTATCCTTCTCCTTCTCCTTCCTCCCAATCTTCTTAGTAATACTCCCCCAAACGCCCGTCCCACTCTTCGGCGTGCCGATTTGAGGGCTATTCCCCACACTCTCTGTACTCTTCCCAAGGCCGAAGAACCCGCTCGTTGAACCCTCTTCCTCATGTTCGTCGGGTGTACTTGGTACGTCGGATTTGGCAGACTTGGAAAACAGCGCGTTCTTTTTGCCGAAAGTGAGGAACTGGTTGGTGCTACCCTTGCGAGTGAGTTTCTGCATGAAGGATTCCTTGCCGATGGAACCCGCGGCGTCGGAGGCCGTGTGGGATATACTCCGTTCGAGAGATTCGCGGGGGGAAGCTTCTGAGGCGTCGGCTGTAGAGATAATAGAAGGAGTGTCTCGCGACATGCGGGAATCATGAGGAGAAGTTGTGTCTCTGGTGTCGCCGGCTTCAGAAGGCGTGGCGTGCTTGTCTTTGCGGGCGGCCTTTTCCGCCTTGTCGGCCTTGACCTTCTTTTCCTTTTCTTCCTTCTTCTCTGCCTTTTCGGCTCGGCGGGCTTCTTTCTCGGCGGCGCGCTTGGCTTTTTCTTCTTCGTTCTTCTTGCCGAGTTGGAACATGGTGAAGCTTGCTGCTGCGGGGTTGAGCTGCTTTGGTGGGGTGGGTGGGATGGGTGGGAGTGATGAGGTCGACGGCTGGGCTGGCATGTGGGAAGCAGATGACTGCGGTCGAGTGCCAATCGGCGCTTGAGTGGGCGAGCGTGTGTTTGAAGGAAAGTCCAGAACATCGTCGTGGATGTCGTCGTTGATGAGGTTTGCGCTCGACGTGTGTTGCATCGAGGGTCGACGAGACCCTAGCCGTGACCATGAAGTGGTGTTGGTGTTGTTGACGCTCCAGTCGACTCCAAGAGGACTAGCCCGAGCACCGAAGGCATCCACATTCCAGCCGAAGCGCGTCTGGCTCTCGGTCGATGGACGTGGCAGAGCCATACCTTCTCCCGAGTTTGTAGAGCCCTGACGCGGAGATTCCGGCCTCTGCATGCCTAGAATATTACGCAGCCATGGGTCTTCACCTCCCTTTGCGCTGCTGAACATATTGAACGGTCGTTTGCGTGTAGCCACATGCTTTGGACTACTAAGCGACTCAATCGGCTGAGTCTTGGTGCGGATGAATGTGTCGTACCATGCGCCTTCGGAATGGCTACCGCGGCGGCGAGTGTTACCCAGACCGTCAATGCCATGGTCCTGGCGGGGTAGTGACTGACTTTGTGACGGTTTCAAGGAGCCCAGCGCTGGACCCTCATCGGAGAAGGTCTTACCCCGTGCTCGGTTCAGTCCAAAGAGCCCACCAAAACGACTGGCTTGGGGATTGATCTGGAAGGAGCTGGATGTTGAGTGAATGGAGCGCCTGTCGTTGTCCATGTTGTTGTCATTACTGGGATAAAAGTTGAGTTCACCAGCACTGTCCCGAGGACTTGCTAGAGCACTGGGCGAGCCGCTCTGTGGAGAAGCTGGTGAGCTCGAGTTTTGCGTGTGGTTCATGGTTCCAGGGGCTCCAAGACCAGGTAGGACGTTCCTCATGTTGGGTGAAGGATCCAGCGACGGTGCTTGGGGTGGACCTGGGTCGTCGTCTTCGTCTTCCGTCAAGCCTAGATCATCCCCGAATAATCCCGCTGGAAGCAATGCACCGGCTGTTGGACTCATTGGCGCTCCGCCGGTCAAGCTCTCGAAGTCGGCCTGCGAGAAGGATGTGCTGTAATTCCGAGGAGGAGGCAATGCCATGCCGTTGACGGGGTTGAAGTATGGCGTGGCGGTAGCGAATGAGGGTGATGAAGTCGTCGGGATGCTGTTGAACGGGGCTGATGAAGTATGCACGAAGCCACCAGTTGCTTGAGCCAGGAGCCCTTCGCGCATGCTTAGCGGTCGCGCACGCTGGCTGTTCCTCCTGACGGGACCCATTTCTGGGACTGGCGGTCCTGAGAAGAGTTGCGGCTGGCTCAGGCGGCGCTGCTGCATGTAGGTCAATCTGCCCGTGGCATCCTGATGGGCTCTCTCGGCCTCGGCGTATAGCGCCCAAGCCTGAGCATACTGCTGCTGCAAAAGACCCAGCGTCATCTTCCAGCGATTGTCCTCTTCCTTCTCTGCATTGTCGGGGCCGTCTGTAGCTTCGGCGCCTTCTTGACCTTCCTCCAGCTTCTGCCTCTCCTCTTCCAGAGCCTTGATGTGGATACCCTTCTCGCGGATGGCGTCTTCCAAGACCTTGTTCGCCTGCGTCTCGTCGGCGTACTTGTCTTTGAGGCCCTGGACGCGCTTCTCGGAGGCTGCCTGGTACTCGGTCTGCTCCTTCTTGATCTTCTCAGCAGTGTCGCGGAGTTCGCCCGCCTCTCTGGTCCACTTGGCAACGTCGTCCTTCAGCTTCTTGCGCTCGGCTTCCTTTTGACGCAGCACCCGTTCCTGCTGAGCGCGCCTGGTCTGGGCCGCGGCGTTCTGACGTTCCAGACTAGCCACCTCCTTGCGCAGGTCGCGACTGGCATCTTCCTTTTCTTTCAATGCCGCTTTCTTCTCGTCACGCTTGTCCACCAAGATGGCCTTTTGCGTGACAAACTCCTGGTCCTCGTCCTGGATCTGGCGCTCCATGTCGTCCAACTCGCGTCTGAGGCCGTCCAGCTTCTCTGTCAACTGCCGGATCGAGTCTGGGCCTTCTGCCTCTTGCGCTGCCCTCCCTTGGTCCTGCATCTGCGATGCTGGCGAGATCTTCCGTCCGATGTCGGGGCGGCGCATGCGGGAGGTGCTGTTGCTGTGTTCGCGGGTCATCGGCGGGGCAGCGACGGAGGTGACGACATCGGCGAGGGTCTTGTTGGGACGGATGACGGGCGTGGGGGTGTAATCATTGTCGTCGCTGGCGAGGGGCGCGTCTTTGGGTGGGGAGGGACCGTAAAAGTCATCGGAGTCGGCGGGGAGGGTGCGCAGGCGGATGGGCACGCTGGGGGCTTGGAAGCTGGACGAGTTGAGGGTGACGATGCGGATGGTGTAGTGGCGGTCGGGCTGCAGGTTCTCGATGGTGATGGACGACTCCTGCGGGGAGATGTCGCCAATGTCGATGCCGTTGATGCGGATCACGTATTTGAGCACCGAGGCGCGCTGGTCGGGCGGCTTCCAGTGCAGCAGCACGCCATCGGCCTTGATGCCCGCGAGCGAGACGAGGGGCGCGACGGGGACTTCGAGGCCGAGCACCTGCACCAGCTTCTCGACGGGCTGCGTGAGGACCTGGTAGGCGCGGAAGGCGACCCTGCATGCGCGGTGAGTAAGTGCGCGTGTATTTCTTCTTGTATACAATTCCTACCAGAAGAGGGCCGAGACGATGCACGCCGTGCGCAGCCAGCCCGACGACGAGAACAGCAGGGCCTCCATGTCGTAGCGGGCGACATCGGGCGGCCAGTACAGCGACTGTGAGGGTTCCGAGAACATGGCGACAGCTGTCAGGCGCTCCCACCTGTTTACTCTGTAATCGCGGTGGGTGAAGTTTGCGCGGTGCCTGGCGGCGTCATGTGCAGCCACAACCGCCGCAAATGGCCGAAGCTACAGGCCATTTCGACGTCTTGGCTGCTCCACACCTGCACCTCCTCCGCATTCATCTTTCAGAGTTACTAGTAGCAGCTAGCGGGGCAGGGTGGCTGTCGAAAAGTCGAGTTAAGCGTGTGTTGAGAATATCGCGATACCTTCCATTGACTACACATTGACTATGAGATCTCCGGTAGCAAAGTCATGAAATAGCCACATGCTACCTAGGTAACTATCGCACGCGGTGGTTGAGCCAGTGGCTGGCCCAACATATAATCAGCACGAACGCTTCTCCAATGCGCGTGCTCCGTTCCAGCATGTGAAGATGGCATCTCGATTCTGCATGCACAATCCCTCGCAACATGTGCCATTCTGGAAATAACTGCCGCGCACTCCGGCTCAGCGCATCACTGGTGTCACTTGATCTCGGCCTGACGTCTCGGGCCCGTGATGCGCCCGCGAGCTCGGTGACCGCATAGCTCACGACTGCCTAGGCACGTCAGCGCAAAAGTACTTCCACTCCTGACATCCCTTCTTTGACCCTCAACGCTCGGCCGGTCGCTCCTCCCTCGGTGAAAGCAGCCCTCTGACATGTGAAGAAAGAATGCAAACACGCTCTGACACATTTCCATCCGCCCGCCCTCTGTAAAACACTTCTGACGTACATCCCCGACGCTCGCTACAAACATACAAAGCACTCGCACCACCTCGGCCGCGCAAGAGGCGCTGAGCCCTGAGCCATAGACAGCAACCATGAACTACGTGCGATCCATCACGGGCAGCGTGTCCAAGGGCTGGAACTCGATCAACCCCGCCACCCTCAGCGGCGCCATTGACACCATCGTCGTAGAGCACGAGGACGGCAGCCTGGCATGCTCGCCCTTCCACGTCCGCTTCGGCAAGTACCAGATACTGCGCCCGTCCGACAAGAAGGTCGAGTTCCGCGTCAATGGCGAGCTGCAGGACTACTCGATGAAGCTGGGCGAGGGCGGCGAGGCCTTCTTCGTCTTCGAGACGACGCGCTCCATCCCCGCCGAGATGCAGACGTCGCCCATCGCATCGCCCGCCGCCAGTCCCGAGCAGAAGCCCGTAGAGCTGCCCTCGGAGCGCGCCTTCGACGAGCCCGAGCCTTTCGACCTCGACGGTAGCGCTACAAGGAGACGAGGGCGCATGTCCATGTCGGTGCCTGCCTCGGACTATGCTGGGGCCGACTTTGGACGGCCCAAGTCGGGGGACTGGTCGGGCTTCCACATGCAGAGGGCAAGCACGGATGAGACTGTGCCTTCTGTAAAGGACGGCTTTGCCAAGACATTCGACGGCGAGGAATCACAAGACAAGGGCCCCGAGAGAGGGCCGCTACAGATCAGCAAGGAGGATGCGACGGCTTGGAACAGGTCGACGCGCTCAGCGAGTCCGCCGCCTGTGTCCTCCGCTGAAGCCCTTGCCCGCGCTATCAAGCTGTCCAAGAAGCTCTTTACCTCGAACATCCCGAACAAGGTCACCGAGACTGGCGACCTCGAACTAGACATGACTGGGTACAAGAGCAGCGAAGAGGATGCGTTGCGCGCTGAGGTCATAGCCAGGCGCATCCTGTCGGATGAGCTCGCAGGAGACTACGACATTGGCGCGCTCATAGGCGCTGACGAGAACGGCAATCTCTGGATCTACAGCAGTGAGGAGGCCAAGGCAGCGGCTATGGCAAAGACGACGATGAATGTTCTGAACGAATCGGCTCTCCAATCGACCGATGCGCTGTCAGACCCCGGCTACCAGAGCGACAGTGGACGTAGCGACGACACTGCTCAGTTCCCCCTACGCAGAGACTCAGACAGTGCGCTGGGTTCCTCCGCGCCACACTCGCCCGAAGCCAGGAAATCCGAGCACAAGACATACGCAAAGACGCTGCGCCTCACGAGCGAGCAACTCCGAGCGCTCAACCTAAAACCCGGTGCCAACACCATGAGCTTCACCGTGAACCGCTCAAAATGCGAAGCCTACATGTTCTACTGGAAGCACGACGTGCCCATCGTCATCTCCGACATCGACGGCACAATCACCAAGTCCGACGCCCTCGGCCACGTGCTCAACATGATCGGCCGCGACTGGACACACCAAGGAGTAGCCAAACTTTACACCGACATTGTCAACAACGGCTACAACATCTTCTACCTAACCAGCCGCTCCGTCGGCCAAGCCGACACCACCCGCGCGTACCTCAACGGCGTCGTCCAAGACAATTACCGCCTCCCCAAAGGCCCCGTCATAATGAGCCCAGACCGCACCATCGCGGCCCTCCGCCGCGAAATCTACCTCCGCAAGCCCGAAGTCTTCAAAATGGCTTGTCTGAGAGATATCATGCAGCTCTTCGATAAGCCCGCGCACCAAACCCCTTTTTACGCTGGTTTCGGTAACCGCTTCACTGACGCGCTGTCTTATCGCAGTGTCAACATCCCTTCCACCCGCATCTTCACCATCAACTCAAACGCCGAAGTCAGTCTTGATGTTTTGTCGCTCAACAGCTATAAAACGGGTTACGCAAGCATGCGCGAGATTGTTGATCACTTTTTTCCGCCGGTGGGGCTGCTGGTTCCGGCGGGGGGCGAGGCGTATACGGATTTTAATTATTGGCGCGATCAACCATTAGACATACAAGACTTCACAGACAGTGAAGACGAAGACGACGACGATGATGATGAGAGGACGGAGGCGGCTAGTATAAGGAGTGAAGACGAGGGATCGGAGATTGGCGAGGATCTTGAGGCGAGCTACATGTCTAGGGAGAGCTTGGATGTGGATGCGGATGAGGCGGGGTTGGAGGATAGTATCGTGGAGAGTGTAGAAGGGGGGGATTATTTAGAGGGCGAGGGGTATGTTGAGAGGAGGTACGGTGATGATGAAGAGGAGGAGTATGACGACGAGGAGGGTGAGAGAACGATGGTTCAAGATGTCATCCCCTCAATCGAGGATGTGGTCGATACGGGCGTCGACACGAATGTAGAGCGCATGAGGGCGTTGGACATCAAGGAGCGTAGTCCTACGCCGCGGAGGTAGTCAAACGTGTTGGTGTTGTCTTATTGGTTTGAGTAATCTTTTCGCATAGCATGGCATGGGGCGGCGTTGGGGTATCGGCAGTGGTAAGGACAGAACACTGGTGTTTTGTAGAGTATTTCCTGTTATTTACTTGTAATTCATTATATCAGACTGAGATTGGGCTTCAACATGCCTCTTCTAGCATCTGTACAAATCGTGTCTTCCAAGTTCTGTTGTTGGTGGATTGCCTCGTCACTGCCTTACCACTGACTTTTCCATCGTCACTTCCTCACGCGCTTGCGCCAATCATTATGATACACCTTTTTTACCACGTGGGTGGGTGGGGGAGGCGGAGGGGAGGAGGTGGAGGTGTTCCGAGATCC